GCTCCCCGAACAGGTTTTGGACACAGGAAGGTATACCTCTTGTAGTTCAGAGTTATGTCACAGACAAAGTTAAAAGAGTAAAATAACCCAAATGTTGCGCGCAACACATTGTGTCAATATGGTGATCATTTCTGTGAAATAGTTGTAAAATCCTACCTCAAATAACGAAGTTATGGGCTGGATACGATTTTGCTGCAAGGTCATTCTGTGACCTTGACCTTCAAGGTAGCGACAGTTTTACTGCACCCTTTTTATTCACCATATTTTGCCCTTTGCGACATTTTTTTCTTCCGAAATTAAAAAAATACTCGCTGGACATAGTTCTATATCACACAAGACAGACACTAAGGCTCCTAAAATTGAACGCTCTTCGCCAGAATAAATGTCATTGAGATTAATTTTAAGCATTGATCTGTAAAATTTCGGCTATACACCGTCTATCTTCTGGGCGTTTTCAGCGATAGTGTTGGATTTTGCAGCTGGTCAGATTGTACTGTGGTTGCGGAAGAATGTGATATATTTTTAGTTGGTTCCGTGAAGTACCATTACCCATATAGGTAATGGTATTTAACGGAACGGAACGGAACAGGATAAATTTATATTTTGATAAAACTATTTAAATAGCTTAATTAAGTGAATTTATCATATTATGGAACTAAGAATAAAAGTTTCATTCATAGGTGGTGGTTTTATTTTTTTAACCCAAGTTTTTACAATTGCAGCTTTACACCATAGGTGATTTGAAGTACGAATATTCATGTATCTATAGGACGTTTTCATGGGGCAAAATTATTCATGTATCTATAGGGCGTTTTCATGCGGCAAATCTTTGTCGATTGTGTTGGAAATTACAGGCGGGGGGGGGGGTCATATCAAACTGATTGCGGATGAATGTGATATCTTTTTGTTCGTTCCGTTCCGTTCCGCAAAGTGCCAATACCCATATAGGTAATGGTATTCAACGGAACGGAACGGAACATGATAAATTTATATATTAATAAGACTATTAAAATAGCTTAATTAAGTGAATTTATAATATTATCGAACTTAGCATAATAGTTTTATTCATAGGTGGTGGTTTCATAATTTTTAACCCAAATTTTGTACAATTGCAGCTATACATGCATCAGAGGTGATTTGAAGTACGAATATTCATGTATCTATAGGGCGTTTTCATAGGGCAAAACTTTGTCGATAGTGTTGGAAATTACAGGCGGTCACATTAAACTGAGGTTGCAGATGAATGTGATATATTTTTGTTCGTTCCGTTCCGTTCCGCAAAGTACCAATACCAATGTAGGTTATGGTATTTAACGGAACGGAACGGAACAGGATAACTTTATATTTTAATAAGACTATTTAAATAGCTTAATTAAGTGAATTTATAGTATTATGGGAACTAAGCATAATAGTTTTATTCATAGGTGCTGGTTTCCCAAATTTTGTACAATTGCAGCTATACATGCACCTTAGGTGATTTGTAGTACGAATATTCATGTTTGTATAAGGTGTTTTCAGGGACAAATCTTTGTCGATAGTGTTGGAAATTACAGGGGTTCATATATATAAACATGTTTTGTAGATTAAGGCTAACACGCAGTTTAAAAAATAATTATATAAATTTTAATTGAATCTTTCACATATGGTTGCTAAATGAAAAACAAAAATACAAATTCGTTTAATCACCAGTTTAATATGTTTTTTTAACTTAATCATCTAGAAAAAAGCGAAGGAGAATGACAGAACAATTTACTTATTGGGTCTAACCTGACAGACTGGTTGATTAGATTGATTTACTTAGATGTTAATAATAATATTATATGATTCTTATGGTTCGTATTTTTAAATGGCAACAAAGCGATGTAATAGCGATGTAATAAGAACTGTTGCTCATTAATTCAACAAACAAATTTCAATCGCATTTTCAGTGGTTTTAGGATGGTTCCAGTAGGCAGTTTAATGTAAAAAGCCTTGTTTTCAAAAGTAATTAATAAGTTCTAACTTTAAGTACATGCAGATAGAAGATCTCCACTTGGTTATATTATGCATCCCCTTTTCTGCAAGACTTTGCCGGTTGTAGTCTGAAGGGGTGAATGAGTTTGAGAAAAAAAAGCTTAAGGTATGGCATGGTATCGCGGGTAATTAATTCCTCGCGTGGCAGGTTAAAATTGATATGCCAGAACGTAGGTTAAACTAATGTATATTAACTAGTGTATTTTGTGTAGCAAATCTAAATCAATATATATTTATATTTAAACTATTTGGAAAAAATTGAAAAAAAAAAGTTCATAAATCATAAACATCTATTATGACTGACATTGATATCATTATTTAGCCATTTGGTCATAAAGGTTTTTAGGTGGAGGTTCAAGCCATTGGCAAGTATGTAGATGGTCACGGATTTTAGGTTATACACATTATTCTATTGCGTTATTCAGTATGAATAGCGGCTAGCCGTGGCAAACTGATAAGGCCTGCAGAAAGGAAAATGGAAAGTGATCTCATGTTTTTTTTTGCCTGTGGCACAAAACACAGTTATACATAACGCACACACACGTAACACACGCGTTACATGTATCGTAGATGACCGAATATAATGTTTTATTTGTTATTAATGTCTTGATATCATCGAAAACATTTGAATGTGCGTAATAAGATTTTAATGGGATTCTTTAAAAAATCAAGTTAGATGTGGTATTTTCCAGTGTTTAAAACTCGTCGGGATTTAGAAATTTAAACGATTGTGGCCAGTGGGTTGTCCCAGTCGTGGCAATCGTTTTTTACTGTTACAATAATTTTAAAATTTCTTGTTTTTAAACGGGTTTGGGTTTTTTCAGTTGGGGTGTTTTTATCAGCATCGAGTTTAAAAAACGCCCGAATAAAAAAAATTTGTTTTATATAAACCTAAATAAAACCAAAGTTGATAATTTCTAATTGGAAAAGCTAGTATTTTAAACAATGTATACAAATTAAGCGTTGATACATAGATTTTTTGTCGGGTTTTACGTTCAGGGAAATTTATTGGTTTTTTCAGTTTAAACTGGTGGAAAAAAGAACCCCCTTCAGGTGCTTCTCGGATATTTTTTTCAACACGGGAACTTGAATAAAACAAGAGACGTTTCCGTAAATTAGTTAAAGTATCTTTCCTCATGTAAAAGAGATATTAAGTATCTTGTGGGATTCGAACCAAAAAGGTAAGGGGTCTAGTAGATGGACACAAAATATTAAAAGCAATATATTGATCACTAGCTCCGTGAAAACTGATTTTTTTTTAAAAAAAAATCTAGTATTTAAAGTCGTGACAGACTCACAGTAAATTTATGATTTCAAACTTCCTATATTTTTCGACGGCAGCTCGGATTATATTTACAAACAACCGTTTATATATGGCCATATAACTGTCAATCAATCTTTATAACTAATAATATACGGTGTGTAATCAAGTTATATCCGTTGTGTTAGATGCACATCGTGTCCATAGACATTACACACAACTCACACATGAACGTTGTTATCAGATTGCGCGTTGACGTTCTTCATGTTGGCTAGATATTGAATCAAACCAAACATTTACATTATTAAAAGACATCTTTAAAAATATTTCAACAATGAAGGTTTTATTTTTAACTCAGTATACTATTTTGAAATAATTATTTAATAAAAGGGTTATTTATCGGGTATGATAAAATATGCACTTGTTCTCACACTCCCTACGGTCGTGCAAAATTACCGCTGCTGTGTATCTTAATATAATTATGTCATTTCTCGACAAAAATATAACGAAAACCAGACTACACTTTAGGAATTGCGCAAACAATATTTTCATCAAATGAAATGTTTTAGAGTAATGCATCAAAAGTTTTTGCGACAAGGTATTATGTATTAGGTAATGAGTCATAATTTTTTTCGAGAAAGTGAAAGGTATCAAGTATTGCGTCTACATGTTTTTCGAAAAAGACCTTTTATTAATTTCTCGCCAAAATATTACTCGTCATGTGCAATGTTTCTGTTTCTTGCAACAAAAAATTTGGCCAATTAGCTAAAAATTTCTCGTTTATTCGAATTATTTTTTGCGAAAACACTGACAATATCATGCCTTTGCGCCTTACTTTTTTCCACTTCCGTAAATCTTCTCACAAAAGATCGCGTAAGAGGTGACCCTTTGAAGCTTCCGTAATAGCTCACGTAATTCAACAAAGTCTTTTTGCAATGATTAAAAACTTTCTACGTATTACGTATTAATCATAACGTCTTCATGGAATGTTTAACGTATTGCGTATTAAATATAACGTCTTCATGGTTTGTTTTTGGTCAAAACGAGAAAAAACAAGTTGACATGACATGAAACTTTAAGATAAGTGATGGCCCTGATAAGCTTCCGTAGTTATTCATTTAGAAGTGATTGTATTGTAATCATTCATTTACAATCAATTAAAATGTCGACTGTGTAAAAAGTAAACTATATTTCAATAGATCGTCTGATAGCGCATGTATTTAATGAAAGTAAAATATTAAATAAATTTGATTATCATCATAACTAGTGTATTAAGTCCCACAATAACTACCATGCGATAAGTTATATCTAGTAAAAAAAAGTGAACTTTTCTACAATTTATTACTATATTGAGTGCCTCATATAATTAAGTTAGGAAAATGATACAGGATATAATCATACCTAATGCAATAAGCTAGGAAACTTTAATTATGTTACAATACTTGATCTTATGTAACAATATTTTATCAAATCTAGAAAATTAAAAAATGTTACAAAATGTTATCTTTTCTAGTGCATTAAGTAAGCAAAATGAAATTATGTTACAATATCTTAATATCATACCTAGTGCATAAAGTTAGGAAATTTAAATTATGTTACAATATCTTAACATATCTAGTGTATTTAGTTAAGAAATTTAAATAATGTTATAATATCTTATCATATCTTATGCATTAAGTTAGGAAACTTTAACTATGTTACAAAATATAATCTAATAACGATTTACCTTAATGTCTGGTTACTCAGTGAAACTAATGCAATATCACCCTGCATCAAAAGTTTATATATCTCTTCTAAACAGGAGTAATACAGTCTTCTGAAGACATATTGTCTTTAAAAATGTCATAAAATCATTCAAATGTAAGACCAGTTGATAATTATATTGATACCGGGTTTAAAAGTTTGTTCCTTTAGTACGAATAGCTTTTTGTATGACCTCCATCGTTTAAATTGAAGTTAGATGAAATCATAGATAGTGAGTGAGTAGGCGAAGGACATCCTAATTATTGGACAAAATGCACGTTTCATGTCAGTTTACCACTCCGGAAATAACTTGTTCATCACGCCCCATATATTGTTACTGTAAATCCTTTAAAATATTGGTAAATGTTTGACAACCGGATGTAAACAATATGTAGATTCAGTTTAAATGATGGAAATAAATGACCGGGCATCCGCGATAATTAATGATTACATGACTGGATTTCTTTAAAACTTTCTATAACATCTTATAATTGTAGTTTTGTTGGTTATTTTTGCTTTCATTTTTCATCCTTAATATATCTACGAAATTCGTCAAACACACATCTAATATGCATTGACACATACGACAAATAACTTAATCTTTTTCTCTATTTTACTGTCACATCAATGTTATTTGTCAATGTTATTTGTGCCGTTACGCGGGTGTAAAACGTCTCCCCGTACATTCAATCAAAAATGTAATATTTTCGATCCTTGAAGGTCTTTCAGCACGACATTATTGTTGTGAGTGCATGTTTGTGGTACTTCTTGAATACTGTTTAATCACCCTTAGGGTGTTGCCATCTTTTTCATTATTCCTTTCACGTCTATGATAATAATATGCAGGCTTCATAATCAAACCGAGCCTGTAACATCCGAGTCTGTAACATTTTCAATTTTGCTGTGTTGGGCTTTCTTTGGGGATTCTGTTTTCTCTAGTTTAGTAGTAACGGATGGGGGGGGGGGGTGAACCAAGAGCTATCAGAGTAGGCCGAGCACTATCTTTAAAAGAAAACGGACGCGGTAATGGAAGACAAATATACGATATATATGTACAAAAGTAACAATTCTCAAGTTTAAAATCTGAAATTGCAAGTACAAGACATATAATTCTAATCACAAATGATAAAGGGTGTTAAATGATCATTAATTTGAAGTCTGAAGTAAATCCCTGAAGAAATAAAGAAGTAAGAGAAAAAACTAAGGAAAAACCATGTTAGAGGGTGATATTATTCATAAAATATTGACGCAAGAGGAATAAACCTTGTTATTTATTGTAATGTGAAAGTTGATATTTTAGCATTTGATTTGTAAGACCAACAGTTTGCAGGGCTAGTGTTATGATTCGTGTTCAATTTGAAGTAAATATTTTAAGAGAAGTTACAATCAATAATTTAAACAGACAAGCCACACAAACACGAATGTTCAGTAATTATTTATTGCATAAGTTTCGGCTATATGCCTTCATCAGTGCAAAACATAATAAAATTACCGGAAGCGACGTCATAACGGAGCATGCGTAAATCGCGCGAAAAACGTTACGGCGTTTAGCGGCAAAAATATGATCTAACATGTAGAAACAAATATTTATGTTATAAATAAAGCTGGTATATGAATTAAAATGGATCAATAGTGATACAGATGTCTATTAGACAGTGTTAATAAAAATAAGATAATAGGCAAACATATTAATATTCATGTCAAAAATACTTTATTGTTAAGTCCATTTGGAATCATAGTACAGTATTTTATTTATGAATCCAAAAGGACTCTTTACATAACCGGTCCATGTTGTTATCTGTAATTTCTATCGGCAAAAATGAAAAATCTGACAATGAACACTTATTTTCGGGTGATCCAAAATGGATCGCAAAAATGTGAAACTGGATTTACATTACAATTTCTTATATCAAATCTATGTTTATTCATTCTGCAAGATACATTTTGATTAGTTTGGCCTACGTATTGCTTATTACAGCCTTTACATGTGATGAGGTAAATTACATCACGCATAGCACAGTTAACTTCATTGTGTAAATCAAAAGAACGACCTGTAATGCTATGAAATTGTGAACCAACAATTATATTTTTACAATGTGAACATCTACTGCGTAAACATTGGCTAGATAAAATGTGCGATCAAGTAAAGCACTTCTCATAAGATAATCTCGAATATTTTATGACGTCTATAAGCTAAAATAGTTTTGAACTTGGTATGCACATTTTTAACGCTTTCTAATCAGATAAAAATAATAGATCCCAATATTTATTTAAGATTTTACCAATATTAGGCAGAGATGTATTAAAACATACAGAAAATGGTATTTTTGAACTCGTACTTTTAATCAATAATTTACATTTTTAAACTAAATTTCAAAAAGGACGTATTAATATAATGTCTTACGCCTGCTGGTTGATATTGTATAAAACCCACGGTCATTAACCTTTGCCACCGGACTTGACTATCTTTCAATCTGGACAAAAACCTTTCACCATTTGTAGCAAAAATTTAAAAAGCATTTATTGACTAAATAGCAAACAGGGACGACATTGATCAGACTGCATAGATGTACTTTCTGATCTTGGTCAGCACTGATTGCATGGGTTACCGTTACAGTTACCGCTTGCTGGCCAAAAGTTGCACGAGCTTGGTCACTTCATGATAAATGTTTGTTTACTTTGTTTGTTTTTTTTTCTCAACAAGTTAATCAAGTCTATATGTCACGTTCATAAACATTTGAAAATTGTTTCCGGATACTAACTACTTTATCTGATTTTATCACATATAATAATTAAGAAGATGATTTAATTCATTTACTATATAGTTGGTTTGTATCAAAAAATAAAGTTTTTGATATTAAAGACAATAGTGTCAAGCAAAAATAAGAAATATGCATATTATTTTATTTGCTTGTTATTTAATAGTTTTTAGAGTTTATTGCCTACCCACTGGTGATGGTAATCAGGGCATTGATGTTATAAATATGGATACAGATGGAGAGAAGGAGATAGAAAAAGACTGCACAGACATATGGTGTGAATCATACAGGTATTTTAATGTCGTTTGGCACTTCTATAGTACACCAGTTATTTGTTATCTTTGTAATTAACATTGACTGACCGGGAAGATATGAGTAACTAAGCTATTTACTTTCCTTTCAGCTATCCATGCACTTTTAGGTTAATGTCGTGGTTATCTCTGCTTCCGACTATTAGTGTGGTTATAATTTCAATGAAAAATTTCACCAAGAGCCAAAAAGTCAAAATCGCCGTTATTCTCCTAGGTTTTAATTATTAAATTGATTGATATCTAGTGTTTTGTAGTGTTTTTTTTTTATCTAAATCCTCGCTGAGGTTTTATGACATGACGGGATTTGAGACATTTTACTAGGTTTGTGTAACATTTGATAATGGTCGGAATGAAGAACTTGTTAGCAAATTTTCAGATCAATTAAGAATTACGTTCTTTGTCAATAATTGTAAACTTCGGTAAAAACGAAAAAATAAAATTGAAAAAAAGAAATACAAATCATTTTAATATACAGAAAATCAAATTGGTGATACAATTCCTCCTTGTCATAAACTTATTAAGCAGCCGATTAAAACGAGTACGACCTCCTTAGGTTATAATTCGACTTTTGATATTTTATAATTTGTTTATATATACCATGAAATTAATTTTTCATGAAAAAAATGAAAATATCAAAACAAAATCATACAAAATCAACTGTTTTGTCGTTATCTACATTCTATATAAATTCGTTTTTCAAGGTGTCTCACATTAATTATGGTATCCCTGTTGTTTAGTTTATATCACCAGAAAAGTCATTGTAATGGAACAGTTTTATATACAAATTTGTCATTTGAGATTTTTCGTGTCTTTTTTTTCTTTAATGTAACAGATACTAGTATACACTACATTATTATTTTTGTTTAGCCTAATGTCTTGTGACCTCTATTAATACACCGTTTGCACTAACAATCGATTAAGGTACAATTTTATTACAGTAATAAATGTTTTAATAAGTTATTTGATCGATTTATTATAGTACCAAACGATGAAATGAAGACATATTTTTCTACCCCTTTCATGGAAAATATCTAATAATTAAAATCCCACTAAAGCCGCCCTCAAATTCCTATTAATTAATCAAGGTTATTATCAAAATCGGTGGGCAAGGAAAGAGATTAATTTGAACGATTAATAATCCTTTCGTGGAAGTAACTTATCACTTTAAGTGCGAAATCAAAGCATGTTCGTCCTGATAACAGCTGGTTCAAAGCGACTGTTTACTTAAGTTATATCCGACTACTTCTTTTAAAAGATTTATTTAAACGATTGAAAGTTATACAACAATTACCGAACTCTCCCAATTTGCGTTTTCTTTCTTACTAAAGCCGCCGTTCTATGAAAAGCCAAATTAGTGCATATTTCTAAAGGTATAAAATAAAGCAATATGAAACTCAATAAAAATACACTACCCTACAAAACTTATTTCATGCGGGAGTTTGGATCCAATTCATTTCAATTTCAATGACGTCTTAAAAAAATGTTTGATAGAATAAAACTCTAAATGATAATTATGCAACTTTATAATATTGCAATGTCTTTTGTTTTGTTTCTTTTTTACAAAATATGTCTACAAAATATTAATTAGTATACAAATAGGATAACATGAGCTATACGTACATTGTTTTAGATTAACTGGTAGTATATATAGGATATTGAATGAGTGTAAGTTCAATACTGAATTTATTGAACAAGTTGAACAAAAATATATTATGCGAGCCTCTGGCGAGCATGATATTTCACGTCAAAATATATGCACGGCCGTGCAATACCATTTTTACGGAGTCGCAAAATCGGCACGGGTGTGTGATAAATTGATTTATGCCTAGTTTCAAACATGTATTTATTACAGGAAAACATTTATAGAAATGTAAATTAGAACACTTGGTCATTGCGTTTCATCATTTCAGTTTATCTGAGGTACACCAAATGTACAAAGGGTTGTTCATGACAGAATACGAGCTGTTTTTACAACAATTCATGTTTGACATAGATAGAGATTATATTCTGTATAAGGAAGGTATAAAAAATTTAGGACAGATTGATGGATCCCAGGGTGATGGTGACTCATGCTGTGTTACGTATGTAATCATGCTTAAATAAAACTTATATTACTTTGTAAGTATCTAGATTATAAAAAATGTTTGTAAGAATAAACATGTGTAGGGCTGGAACACATGATGCCCTGGTTAGGAGGAAAAATGTCTCACGTAGTTAGAAATAAGCAACTAGCCAGCCCATTGCTTTCTAGATGACTTTTAAACATATTCCCCACACTGATGAGTAAATCTTGCTATATGAGAATTAATTACTTTCCAAATCAGTAAAACATGAATCGAAATAAAGTATAACAATAAAAAAATTGTATTTTAATGTTTTGTTTGTCAGTATACAAATATGCTCAGTTAAATGTTTTAAGATGATTTAAACGAAGTCAATCGGGTTCTGAGTGTCGAATACAGTTCTACGACACAAGTGATTCATTGATAAAATAACTTTCTTTTCCAGAAAACAGAGTACACACATACAATATACAATGCAAAATATCTTCGGACAGACACGCCATATTGTTCATCTTACAAGTGCTCCGCAACCAAAGTATCAGTATATAACACAAGCTAAATGCATGTAAGTGTTGGTTTGAAGAAGATTTTGTCTATTTTGAAATATATCTATTTAGTTTTACGTTTTAAATTGATCTTGGACACTATGTTTTCGTAAAAAGGCGCCTAAATGAGTCGTATAATGCCATATCAAACTACTATAAACTAGTATGTAAAATGTATTTCCATTTATGTTTTTATACGGGTACATGTAAAACTGAAAATGATGAGAAAATAAAAAAAAATTGTTTAATTACAGCGCCACAATCAGAACCTTGATGTTATTTTAAATTATGTATTACAAAAGGTGATGGTCTGCTGTACAACTATGTTGCGTGCAACTTTTTATATAATAATTTAGGTGAAAGACCTCAGATGCTCTTCCGTGCAATATTTCTGAGTAAAACCAGCGACGTTCTGTAATCTAATATTCTAACAAGTGTACATTTTAACAAAATTTTAAATGATATTCTATCACTACAACAACAACCATAATGATAAGTCATTTGTTATATTATTAGTATATATTCAGTTGCCGTATGTTAATATTGCTTTTAATAGAACTTCATTTCATAAACACAACTAAATGTATGCTGTGTTGTGGTATAGTGTACACGTGGTGATATAATTCCTACATGTATTTCAGAGGAAAGAGGAAATGTGACGGATTATGTGTATTAGAGGACACTGTTAGAACTGTTCTTGTATATGATACAATACGACGGCAACTGACATTTGATCAGCTCTTAGTTCCAACATATTGCTCCTGCAAAAGAGTATCAGGATAAATGAACATTTAGACCAAACGACAAAGTCTGTATTTATGTAAAAGAAAACAATTGTTGATAAGCCTATCTACATCGTTATGTAATATGAAAGTAGAGGTTTTACTTAGTGGTTGAACTATTAAATCTGATTCAGAATCATGTGTGTGTGTTGTCTTTTATTGTTAGTTTTCACAATGACAATGATCAATGACTCGAAAATTGCATGGTTTTTATGGTGAAACTCAGAGAGGACAAAGTCAAAAATTGAGTATTGAACAGGATGAAGTTGATACTAAAAGTTTAAATACAGTGTACATGAAGGCATTTCAGATCCATCAGTGAAGCAAATAGTAGTAATGGTTGGAACATACAGAATTTAGAAAGAGGCATGGATATTTTAAGGGAATAGTGTCCGGTTACTTAATACGTTTCAGAATAACCTAAATAAAGGAAAACTAGCCACTAAGTGACTCCCATCTTAACGTATATATGGAATGGTATTATCCATAAACAGTCTTGTAAAATGTGTATTCTTAACATATTCTGTTAAGTTAACAGTAATTAAACATAGACAAACATTGTATTACACTATTAAGAACAGCGTCTTCAATGAGCAAACTTGCGTTATCATTTGATACTACTATATGTATTATACTTCACGCCGGCATCGTAAATGCAACTGGATTTGTCTTTTCTCGACCTTCTTGTTTGCTTAGCGGGTGCTCGTCACTTAGTGGCATATACTGTCTAAGCTTTTATTTCGCTATATTTCATGTTTGATTGTGACAATAGTATGCAGTCGAAAAAACTGTATTATTTACACATTAATGTTGAAAAAAATTCACTGTGGGAAAATTAAATTTTATGGAAATATCCTTAAATCAAAATTAATGTACAGATTTTCCTTTTGTGATGAAAAATACGCATTAGATATTCTAAGTGTATGACACGTTCTTAAGATTTTAATTGTTTCTACTAATTGCACTATCGTTTGCAGATCTAATTACTTTGAAACCAAACAGATCTTGAACATACAGGATTCTTACCGGAAATATTATTGTTGACGACGGAAGTTGTTATACAGATTATAATGATAATGGCGTTACTTATATTTATAAACAAGGCTGTTTGCTGTTTCAGCAAATGCATTTAAAAATTTTTGAAAAGGCAACTTGTTAAATTCTTTTGACTGTTGTCGAAAGATTGTTAAGACCCAGATTTGGCCATACTATGACCATGGAACATGTTATTATTTTTATACTGATACTGGAGTGTTTCTATACAAGCACCAGCTTATCTGCTACACAGAACACGAAGTCAACAGCAAAAGAAGAAACTGTGTTAGAGTTTAAAAAGTGTGCGGAACCATGGTGTGAAAAATACAGGTATTTACTAAATTTTGCTGATTTGTTAGCTTTTATAGAAGAAGGTTGAAATCAGCAATGTTTTGGTGAAATAAGAATTGATTTTAATAGTCATATTTTTTATTTTTCAGTTTCAACCTTCTAGTTTCTGAAATAACTTATTCATAATTTGACCTTAGTCTTATATTGAAATATATTAGGATTTACATGACAATGAATTTTAATTGGCTGTTCAGATATCAAATAATGTTATTGCTTAACATATATAAAAAATATTTTATATCTGAATCAGAATCTAATATTTCGCAAACTTTATATTTCACTTCATATTATCATCTGTCATAAAAATCATGTTCTTTATAATTTGCCACAAAAACAAATCTACAATTTTCATAACCATTATTTTGATTTCATTCCTACCGAGATATCATTCCATTTCAAGATTTTTACAGTATTTAGTACATTTTTTCAGTCCTTTTGAGCTTATGAAGACGTATACGGGACTTTTCTATACCAAGGAAGAAATCGAAAAGAAGGAATATATATTTCAGGAATCAAGATCGAAATATTTGCGTCAGCAAGGTGTAAATGACGTTGACGTTATTCTTCGTAAACAGGGTGATGGTGATTCATGCTGTATCACGTAAATATATATATTTGTTATATACTAATAAAAGAAATATTGAGAAATATTGATGAAATAAAATGCGTCTTTTCTTTTTCTGTATTTTCACTTTTAAAGTTATTTTTATTTTTCACTGGTTTCCTTTAGCAATGTCGGACTATGTTATTCTTAATTCAGCCTATTCACAAAATAAAAAAGGTATATAATAAACAGAAAAATAAAGATTTTTTTCTGTAAATACAGAATTGATTTTATCTTGTGGTATGAAAACTATCATATTCACTCGTGGCTGCCGCAACTCTTGAAATTCATATTATCATAATTGATGAAAATAAATTCTGTATTTTATAGAAAAATCTCATATGTAATAAACTTCACTATATCAAAATTATTGCAACTATATTTTTATTGATTTGTTCGAAATCAACATATTCAATTTTTTTACTAAGAAATGTCATTTTTGAGTCCAAGATCGTCTATTAGTATCTTTACTATTGTAAATGTCGTAAAGTAGGAAAAGATCTTGCTTTGTTATAGTCGTATAATATCAAGACCTACGGAAGCTTATCAGGGCTTCCACTTACCAAAACGTTTTATGTCATGTAAACTTGTCTCTTCTCGTTTTGACAAAAAAATATCCCATGAACATGTAATGATTAATAGGTAATACGTAGAAGTTATTTAATCATTGCGAAAACACTTGTTGAATTACGTGAACTATTTGTCAATGCGAGTAACGTCTTTGCGTCTTACTAAATATTTCAGCAAAGTCGTGAAATAACGAAGTGTAATTTTTTTCACCTGATTTTTATCGAAGAGACAAAAGCATCAAGTATATCGAGAAAAGTAAAGTTGCAATGCCTAAAAAAATCCCCATCTTTGTCCTCATCTTTGTCAGTTACGGAAGCTTTTATTGAGATGTGCAAAAACATCTCATTAATGCGAATAAAAATAAATCGACTTAGTGAAAAGCATCTCATCAACTGTAGGCCCTGATACCATATCTTTGTTTATTTAATAAAAACAACAGAAAAACAGAATTTTGGAGCATTGCAAAACAATTTCCAAAGTCTTTTATTTAATCACTTACATATAAAAGTTACATTTCAAGTTAATTGATTGGTAAACAAATATGTTACATGCTTATAATGTTTTTAAAGTAGCGCTGATTGTGAAAAAATACCATTAAAGAAGTCAAAATATTAATTTGACTTCTAAACTTAATCACAATATTTTATTATCGGCCCTAATGCAAAATATGTTAATTATAGTACATAGATATAGCTAATGAGTAGTATTTTTGTGAAAATGTTATTGGACACTGAAAATAATGAAAGTTTACCATGTTCAGGTCCTAAAAAGGCTTAAAATCACACTAATATGGTAAGCACTTGGTCGTCTCTTCTAAAATTTCTTTCCTTTCAAACACAGCGCATAGATTTGCATATAGCTTTTGTTTCTAAATGATTTTTGTTTCTTAGTATTCACAGGACAAAACGGGAACAACATTTGAATAACACTAATAATAAAGAGAGAGCAATCGTACATTTGACAAGTGGTAATCCGCCATCGTATCAATGGGTACCATATGGGGAGTGTTACAACTCGTGAGTATATCATAAGTTTTGAAATCATTGGTGTTTAACTTATAAGCTATTTTAAGATAATATTAACGCGATGATAATTTTGTAATGTCTAGTCAAAATTATTGATTACGAATATTTTAATCACTGTCTTCCTTACTGCTAGTTTTTTATTTTCCTATCCCATATATTTATTTTGCAGCTCTTATTTAACTTAAATTCTAAATAATGACAATGTATATTTTCAGAAATGGCGGGAATTCCTGTGGAAAGTGTGTTATGGAGTATGTCGTTCTATCATTACTTGTATATGATACAGATATTAAAAAGTTGATGTTTGATCAGTTCGAATTGCCAACATATTGTTCTTGTAAACGCACTTTCTAGCTGACCAAATAGACAATTTTTAACAAGATTTTACCATTTTTACCCTCACGCCGCTTGACGATAGCCAATCAGAACGGAAAGTTGAATACCACTTACTAATAAAATTGAGAACAAAAACTTCAATTGGGGCACCTGCAGGATACGCCATTCGCCATGCTTTCCTGTCGGGATACTAATAATTTTTATGTAGAATTGAAATACTATCTTCATGACCGAAGGTCAAGTGATAAACAATATTCGGGAAATTTCCCTTATAAGAAGAATCATTAGCTCTATTGTTCAGGTAGAAGTTTGATAAAAGAAGAAGATTCGTATGATATTTATCAATTTGTGATTTGCACATTTTACATGAGTAATCATTATTATGTAATTCCATTTCTTGAATCTTCTCGTTATTTCTTCTAAGAATATGTACAATTTTTACCAAACGAAACAAATAATAAGATACTGTAAGTGAAATAGATTTAAATTGCATAAATGACTTATGATTTAAACTGAAAATTACATTTATGATAGTATATCAGATGTTTATAAACAATCGTATGCGTGTTTTGTGAAATTATGATATGATGTAGACTGTATAAGATTTGTATAAAACTTAAATTTAAAACAAATGTGTTTATAGCTAATTTATATTCCGCTCATTAAATAAGAATCGGGATGGATTTTAATTATTCCTTAGACGGAATATTTCATACTTGCTTGTTTATACAAAATTGCGTCAGTTTTGCAGTTCAAAGATCATTGCAATCGGAGTAAAGATCAGTTTTACAGAATATATTTCTTGTATGAAGATCTGATCGCCATCGTATCTGTTTCGGCTTTACTTTGATTCGGATTCGCCGAGAAAGCTTTTAATAGCCATGCAATCAAACCGCAATTTACAGACCGGCATTAGACAAAGCATCAAAATATCGCTGTCTGTGAAAGAAATTGTTGATTTTTGTAAGAACAAAAGAAATTGTATGAAGTAATTTGAAACAAATAAACTGGAAAAATAGACTCCGTTTAATAGGCAAGACCGTTTATCCAGTATACATACCGGCTTTAAGGACAACGCTTTGTATTTGAAATCGTGAATCTTAAACACTCAGTGTCGCTTTTCCATAGGTTAAAATTAGAAACCGCATCGCTTTCAAAATTGTGAAAGCCCAACGATGATTGCCTGCTAGATATGTCACTAGAAGGTGACCTCATATTGGTGCCCGTCAGAGCATAGTGCTTAGCGTTAATTAGGTGTTGATTTTAATCAGATTGACCGACACCGTAAAGATCATATAAGGGAAAACTATATGCGTCGTATAACCGATTAATTCTTTCCCTTTAAAACATGCTATTGTCCGTGAACAATAGGGCAACAAGAAGATAAATCAAACTCTTATCGCCTGGGTCAAAATTATTGATTAATATTTTCGAGTTGATAACTATTCTATATAACTTGAATATGTTATAAATAAGCATTTTATTACATGTTTATGTTATAAACTATACATAAGCATTCTATAACGTGAATATGTTATAATGTTATAAATAAGCATTCTATAGCTTGGATATGTTATAAAAAACAGTCTAGCATCTGGTGAGCTTATATTTTCGAGTTTATAAATAAACATTTTATAACTTGAATATGTTATTCATGTACTCAAGCATCAGTTGCGTGTTTTTACCCTTTATTGAAAAAATATTATCTCTTCTTATTGTTTTTCGTTGTATAAATCACGAACGATAATTTTGAATCATGACGACTCTCGTATAATCCTCTTTCCTTTTTACACCAAAACTGTTACATGTATAAACATAAGCTATTACTAAAACCAAAATCTTTTATTTAACAATATTTTACAAATTTTAAATATTGTATTCAAGATACCTGGAGTGAACGGAAACTGATAAAAAGAAGCATATTTACAAAATATCATTACTATTCAGAATAACGTGAGTGAAGTTAAGACAATAGAAATGCTTCGATACATTTATTGCTAATATATAACATCATTTAAATAACAATTTTGACACAGTTTTTAAAGTTTTAAATTGAGTTAAATTACTCGTTTGTTACTTCTTGCCATGCCTTAATCTTTTCTAATAGTTCCGCTTTTTTATTTGAATTTGTAAGCCGAGCTTTTACTGCCCTAACTTTTGTTACTGCCTTTACTTCCCGAGATTTTGCCGGATGACTTATTGCTCGAACTTTTACTCTTTTTGCTTGATGACTTTCCGCTCTTTTTGCTCGAACTTTTACTCTTTTTGCTTGATGACTTTCCGCTCTTTTTGCTCGAACCTTTACTATTTTTGCTAGATGACTTTTTGCTCGAACTTTTACTCTTTTTGCTTGATGACTTTCCACCCTTTTTGCTCGAAGTTTTACTCTTTTTGCTAGAAGACTTTCCGCTCATTTTGCCCGAACTTTTACTTTTCTTGCTTGAAGAGCCTTTACCCTTTCCACTTCCCTTTCCTGCACTGCTTACGCCACTGTCCGGCTCTTTGGCTTTTCCTTTATGAAACTTTTTCTTTTGTTCTTCTATCGTGGCAACGCATTTATGATCTATTAACTTCTTTATTTTTCGTTCGAACGGATTCGCAGTCACACAGAACGCACGTGGGTAAAAGTTTCTTTCACAAACACAAATTTTATCGCCTAAAAGTTGCGGCTTACCTTTCTTGATTATCAGATCTCCTCTTCTACATGTTGGCCCTGAAAAAAACAAGAGCATAATGTTAAAAATTCACTTTCGTATAGATAACTATTCATTTTTTGGCCTAAAGTTATCATATACTTGCACACTTTGTGTACTAGTCTTCAAGTGAATAAACTTATATACGAAATGATTTGTTTATTTTAAAACAATAAATGTATTTAACTCGGTTTATGTTACCATCCTTTCAACTCTCTTTTGGAATTCTAAATGACTATTGTTGACTGATTCTTAAGGTGAATAATTAAATACATGATAACAACGTGTAATTTATTAAAAACACAATCCCTTCATTTCATAAACACTTTTAATAGCTCATTAAAGCGGCCTTCAGCTTTTGATTTCTGTTGAAAAAACAATTTTGTGTCGTTTCAAACCAAGTATTTCAGTACTTTTATTTTGGAAAATGAAGCATATTACTGTTTAGCCTTCTTCAAAACAGCGTCCGAGAGTATTTATAACGCGTCAATGTTCGATTCTAAAAAATCTGAAAATGAATCGTTCTCTTCACTTTATTAAATATAGAAAGCAGACCGGTATGTTAAAGGTATCGAGGGGTTCCCTTATTGTTTTTGTATTTCATCAATTTCATTTCCCACTTTAATTCTTTTGATTTGACTATATGAAACGATTTATCTAAAAATAACATGTTTTACCTTTACAAAAAATTTTAAGGTCGCTTTAAATTTGCATAGTAAAAATGATTTTTGTTTATGAACACATATCTAGGAATGAAATTGGTCAAACATGGCTTTTACTTTAGTTTTCGGACCATCACATTTGTTAATTGCTTTATAGTGTTAGAGTCATTTTGTATCGTGTGTGTGGTTACTGAAAGAACACTCACCTTGAGGGCATTTATATTCACACTTTTTGTTAAATTTAGGGTCAACACATTCCAGTTTATTGTCAGGGCATGGTGGACGGTTGCAGGTAATTACTCCATCCCCATTATATGGGGGACCTCCGGGATTACACTCGCACTTCGCACACTCATCTCCAAATTTGCCTACAAATATAAAAGTGGTTTCAACAGTTTTAAATATATGTAAATGAACCGTAATTAATTTGATATTTTCAATTCTATATTTATGTGTTAATTACGATTGTGCTAAATCGTTTATCATATTATATTGCGAAGATATCACGAAGAATAACTTTACTTAGCTTATTTTATTTAGTATACTCAATTTTGGTTTTTGACTTTTCCAAATGAGGACGTTTTTCAAGCTTAGACATTGAAAAATAACAATGATCATCTTGATTTTGAATTTTTTTCCAAATACTTACTGTAACAAATAATAAATTACCTGGGGGTGCATTACTGGGAAAGTTAACACATCCACAAGACGGACAACAGGCCGTTTCTCCATATGCATAACGCCTCTTTGGACAATTAAGTTTCGGACATTTCTTCCATTCTTTTTTACAAATTTTTGGACATTTCATACAACAGCCATTGGAATCCAGTGTTTGTATTTTTTCACAACACTTTGGTTTTAGACATTATCTTATGGTGCACGTATAGATTCCAGGTTTGCAACACATGCAAACTTTACATGGGTTGAATGGATCAGCAAATACTCCTGAAACAGAAAATCATACGTCATTCCATCAGATACGGTGCCAAATTGGTTAAATATGTCGAATAGCAATGAAATCAAATGCTCTGATGATATTGGTAAAATAAAAGGTTGTAAATGAAGATCATAAGTATGTTTCCGTTTCCAAACTTACACCAGACATTTATTCTGATTTGCTATAGGAATTTTGCACCGTTTTTCCCAAAGGAATCGCGTTTGGTTATTAAACAATTATCTCTTTCCCAAAGGAATCACGTTGAGTTATTGAAACACAGTTATTGCTGTTTTTAAATGACTTGAATGCGTTTAAAAAATATTATCCAAAGTTTGTGTTTAAAAAAAAAGAAACGAACCACTAGATTCAGAACAACTCTGCTATTTACTTCCATGTATATTTAGCACTGCACTTTCCACAACCATTCAATTCTTACGGCACGGTGTAATAACTCATTTGGAGCACCTCGCCGATTACAAAGAAATTTATATTAACCGTTAATGTGAATACATTTTTTAATAATCTTTGGTCTTACTGATGCAGATACACCCTATAACTATTCACCAGTTTTAGATGACCTCTGACCTACGACAAGAACCGAACATGGATTACCGCCAATATGAGAACATCTAATATATGTGACATGATATGACGTTTTAGCCTATTTTGGCCTAATTGGTAAACAAAACCAAATATGAAATAAAATACATTTCTTCGTTTTAGTAAGTGACTGAAGTATGTTGTAAAAATACCAAACGCGACACCAGCAAGAGCAAAAAAATATCGCCAGCTTCATTTTGCTTTTTGCTTAAAACATGTACACTAAACTATTCCTGTTTTTTTTTTTGTTTTAAAAAAAATTGATTTTGATTTTTATTGCTTTTTCTGGTATATGATTGATTATCATACTTTATTAAGTGAAGCACTTAATACAAAAACCTTGCATTGGAAGACAAAAATATACCTAGTGTTAAATTGAATATCGATTTTATGGTTATTATCATAAATTTTATATTTTAATTTCTATTTTATTTAATTATTATTTTTTGGCGATTCTTAGTCCGATTTGAGCGAACTGTGTCATTTTGCACACTTAAAATTCCTGGAAAATCGATGTGAAGGAATTATCTGACAACTGGCGCACAAGTTTTTGGCCAAAACCTTTGTCAAATCTCGGAAAAATATTTCCAGTGCCGTCATGTAACTTGCTGAAATTCTTTATTACTAATAATAAATATGTTTTGAAAGACCTAATTGAAAATGTACATTGAAAATATTAAGTTATTTTCTTTTGTATCGCGGTATAAACCTATTAAGTTTAGAAATATCTGGCACACTCGATTGCATGTTTAGCGAAAAAATATGAATTAACTTGAATATAAAAGCAAATGTTTGGCTTAAAAAGGTGTATTTATAATTTTATAAAAAAAAATCCAACAAGCCATGTTCCTATCAAACGATAAATGTTGAGTAATGTTTTTATAATTGATTTAAGACATATTTCAAATGATTATCACCTAAATAAGGAGCATTGATTGTGAATTAACTTGCTATAAAGGTAGCACAACGTAGACAACATTATATCTTGACTTTCATATAGAGTACTAAACCAGTTATAACTGCACTTATTGCCAAAAAAAGAGAGCAAAAGGTGGTTTGGCTATATGGCCAATGACAAGTGGCGGAAATTTCAGTTGAAATGTGATGAATTTGCAATATTATTCTTTGTTATATTTTTAATAAGACATCCCATCAAGTATAATTCTTAAAGTTTTACATATTAATACCGAGTTAAACATTATAGGTAGTAGAGAAGAAGTGTGTGCTTACCACTATATCGTATACCGTCTTTTATACAATGATACACAGGAGGGCTTGGACCGGACCCTTTGCCACTCTTTTTGCTATTCTTTTTGCTACTCTTTTTGCTACTCGTTTTGCTCTTTGATTCACTTGATTTACTTGCGCTTGATGGTTTAGAAGTTCCGCTACCAGTATCAGAGTGGGTGAAAGTAAATGTACCGGTTCCTGTGCCCGTTCCTGTACCGCTTTTCCCATCTACACCAGTGCCTGTTCCGGTCCCTTTACCTGTACCCGTACTAGTCCGTGTGGAGCTTCCGCTGTCAGATTCAGACATGCTTCCCTTCCCTGCATAAGTAACACTCGCCAGGACGGCAAAGAATACCAAGATGAAAATTACCCTCATTCTGTACCAATGAGGGTAAAACACATTAAAGTAATGATAATCAACCTAAGCCACGTTCTTAAATATATCAACATCAAACACATAAAGATGCGTACATGATTCATCAAAATTCACATCACCCTGGATTTTTTCAATATTTAACGTTTTTGATAGTTTCCATGTACCATGACGTTTTGTTTTGTTGTTTTTTAATCTGCCAAGCGGTTTGTGTAATAAACATGTTAATTAATAATTTTGTAAAATAAGAATATACCAGTACATAATCTCCAGTTTCAAAGGTCGATTTTTCAATAATTTAGCACTCATTTATATTAATATAAATTAATAAAATTTTCTTACAATACGTTCACATAAACATAAAATCTGATATTTTTCTCACCAATGTTTTTATGTTTTCATCCCATTTGCAGAAAGTTCTAAAATCTCACTATTATAGATTTGATAACTTTGATTAGGTTGTATTAGTAAAGTTCTTCGTGTCTAGCAAATCATCTATATATTTATACACATAATATATCATCTTAACATAAAATCTGATTAAATACAAAATTGGCGTTATATTTCTAAATGATCATGTAAGTTTGCTTGTTTTTATGCCGATTCCAAATATCATAGAGGTGGGTCCACTTTACAAACTTTCCTGTATAACTAACTTATCCTTTCCATGATCAGTCGTGAAAGACAAGGAACCATTAAAGTAAATATGGGAAAAAATATAATCGAGGATCAACCCGGCGACCCCCAGATTACGAATCCGACGTGCTTCCTATTGAGCAAGTGGACAATTAGAAAAATAATCAAACAAAGTTTTACTTGACCAATTAGAAGTATTCCGCCATATTGATACAAACTGATTGCTGGGCTGCATCATTTATATTTCGGTCTGCATTATTTATATTTCTTGTCTACATCAGTTATATTTCTTGTCTACATTAGTTATATTTCTGTCTACATTATTTATATCTCTGGTTGCATAATTTATATTTCTGTCTGCATTATTTATATTTCTTGTCTACATTAGTTATATTTCTGTCTACATTATTTATATCTCTGGCTGCATGATTTATATTTCTGTCTGCATTATTTATATTTCTTGTCTACATTAGTTATATTTCTTGTCTACATTAGTTATATTTCTGTCTACATTATTTATATCTCTGGTTGCATTATTTATATTTCTGTCTGCATTATTTATATTTCTTGTCTACATTAGTTATATTTCTGTCTACATTATTTATATCTCTGGCTGCATTATTTATATTTCTGTCTGCATTATGTATATTTCTTGTCTACATTAGTTATATTTCTGTCTACATTATTTATACCTCTCGCTGCATTATTTATATTTCTGTCTTCATCATTTATATTTCTTATTTATATTATTTTATCTATATCTGCATAATTTATATTTCTTTACTGTATTTCTAATACTTCTCGTCTGCATTATTATACTTCTTGTCTACATCATTTATATTTCTGTTTGCATTATACATTTTTTTGGCTGCATTATTTATATTTCTGTTTGCATTTTACATTTTTTGTCTGCATCATTTATATTTTTTCCTGAATGAAGAACCCCCCGGTCTGGTGTAAGTTTTTTTTATTCATAAACTTTAGTTTCATTCAATAGCAATGCATGAAAACATAATGGGTTCTAAATATAGAGAAAATCTCGTGGTTGTTAAACATTTGATATCACATCTGTTTTACCATTTTTAACTGCGGTATAAATTATTTTGTTATTTTTAACAAAAATGTAAATTGATGCTTTATTTAACTTACTGTAGAGAATAAACTGTTGGTAAGCAGTATATTGATTGTTTTACGACTGATTATTTAATCGAATAACTAAATGTAAAGATATATACGGTCCGACACCCCACAATACAACTCGGTGCGCACTTGTTTTTGTATATATTTTATTTCTTACATATGTTACATAAACGGGCTCCAAGAAAAGTTTGTCTAAAGACAGTATTTCGGTTGAGCGACCTCCATTTATATAAAAGCTTATGGGAAAGAATTGATATTTTAGTTTATGACGTTGAATCTTTTCATGAAACTATATAATGACTAAACTTCGAATTAATACGCTTTACAGTTACCACGAATCTATACTCTTTTGTTTATCTGAAATATCTATTAATACTTTCTTTCTAATATTGTGTATTGTTGACTTATGTTAAAACATGTATATGTACATCTCTCATACATTTAAAAAAATTACCCTTTCTTGTGAGCCTATATCATGTTTTTCTAGCAAATGTTACCTTCGGTCTCTGTACATACTTTTGTTAGGAGCCTATTTATGTTAACTTGATTTTTTCCTGCGATACATAAAGTATACTTGTAAAAAATAGGTTTTTTTTATCTATATATAAGGCAAAGCCATTTTTCAGTTTTGATCAATGTTAAAATCCATTGCATTTCTATAGGAATGGAATTTTCAACAGAGACATCAATTCTTGTTCAATGTAAAAAGACTTTGCAAAAATTATTATCATAATAAATTCTTGACGTTGCAGTTGTTTCACGCCTGAAAGGGGATGGCAAATCGTTACTGAGTATGTGGACATATATTGACAACCATTGACATAAATGCAACAGCATGGGAATATAAAAAGATCTTGTTTTATATATGCAAGTTCAAATTATGTATGTTTCATTGCTGAAAAAAATGTCAGCTGTTACATAATTATCGCACGCCCATACTGCTTTATGTTTAATTATGGCACGCCACTATTGTTTCATGTTCATTCATGGCACGCCACTCCTGAAAAGTTTGCAGACAGAAAGAGAAATTAACTCAAAAAAAGGACACACCACTAAGAACCTCTTATCATCAAAGAGACGGACGTAAGAGCTCACAAAATTTTGCTTCGGTTCCCATATTATTTGTGGATTACACGCAGGCCTTTATATTGCCGAGATGTCAGTAGAAATATGTTCGTTCGCACCTAAATACAAAATTACAGGGAGAACAAGTACATGCCAAGCATTCGGCCCACTAAAATTATTGCAAATTTTCAAGCTTTTTACACTCAGCAAACTGTGAGCCGCGTAAATTGTTATATCTAACGATTGTTTAGTTGTTTGTTTTGTTGTTGTTGTTGTTGTTGTTGTTGTGTGTTTTTTCCACGTTATTAATGTATAGGCTATTAACTTTTACCGTATTCAATTATAGTATTCTCTTTACAGAATGTTATTCAAGTTACCAGAAGTCATCGGATACTGATAAAAAGATTTATATGTGCATGTACAAACTATCATTAATATTCAAGATAACAGAAATGCTTCGATACATTTATTGCTAATAAATAACAACATTTAAAATTTAGTTCCGTCACAGTTTCTTAAGTACTTCCCGAGACTTTGCTGGATGCCGTTCCGCTCATTTTGCCTGAACTTGTACTCTTTTGGCTTGATGGCGTTCCGCTCATTTTGCCTGAACTTGTACTCTTTTGGCTTGATGGCGTTCCGCTCATATTGCCTGAACTTGTACTTTTTTGGCTTGATGGCGTTCCGCTCATTGTGCCTGAACTTGTACTCTTTTGGCTTGATGGCGTTTCGCTCATTTTGCTTGAACTTGTAGTCTTTTGGCTTGATGGCGTTCCGCTCATTTTGCTTGAACTTGTACTCTTTTGGCTTGATGGCGTTCCGCTCATTTTGCCTGAACTTGTACTTTTCGTGCTAGGAGAGCCTGAACCTGTACTACTTCCCTTTCCTGCACTGCTTACGCCACTTCCCGGCTCTTTGGCTTTTCCTGTAGATTTACGAAACTTTTTCTTTTGATCTTCTATTGGGGCAACACATTTGTGATCTACTAACTTCTTTAATTTTCGTTCGAACGGATTCGCAGTCACACAGAACGCACGTGGATAATAGTTTCTTTCACAGACACAAATTTTATCGCCTAAAAGTTGCGGCTCACCTTTTTTGATGATGAGATCTCCTCTTCTACATGTTGGCCCTGAAAATACAAGAGCATAATGTTAAAGATTCACTTTCGTATACATTTTGGCCTAAAGTATATACTTGCACATTTTGTGTACTAGTATTCAAGTGTTACTATTATCATTATTCTAGATGACTGTTGTTGTCTATTACTGCCAGATGGTTAAGGTGAATAATTATATCATGATTAACAATATGTTATTGTTTAATACACAATCCCTTTATTTCATATTTACTGCTAATCACGCTCATTTAAGCGGCCTTCAGCATTTATTTATTGTTCAGAATAAATTCTCTGTTGTTTCAAACCAAATATTTTAGTATTTTCATCATGGAATAATCATTTAATCACAGTTCTTCCAAACAGCGTCCCGAGAGCTATTTTCTATAACCGCCAGTGATATTCGTTTTGAAAAATAGAAGATCGGGAAACTAATCATTCGCTTTACTTATTTTGATAATGAGAGCGGAATGATAGATTAGAGGTATCAGCAGGTTTCATTATTGTTGATGTATTTTATCGCCGGTAAATTTCATTTTCCACCTTAATCCCTTTGATTGAACAACTGTATGAGTAGATTAATTTAAAAACAATATATTTAACATTAAGAAAAGCTGAAGTCCAATACAACTTTCGTAGTAGTAATCATCTTTATATGAACACATATCCAGGACATACTGGACTTTAACTTTTGAAAAAGACAGGTATGAGTTTTTGGAACATCACATTAGTTCATTGTTGTAGTGTTAGTTTCCTGTTGTATCTTGTATGTGTATACTAAAAGAACGCTCACCTTGAGGGCATTTATATTCACAGTTTTCGTTAAATATAGGGTCAACACATTCCAGTTTAGTGTCAGGGCATGGTGGACGGTTGCACGTAATTTCTCCATCCCCATCATATGGGGGACCTCCGGGATTACATACGCAATTCGCACACTCTTCTCCAAAGTCGCCTACAAATTAAATAGTGGTTTCAACATTTTTAAATATATGTAAATTATTAGTAAGTAATTTCCTACTCGCAATTTCCTATTTTATGTGTAATACGTACATGATTGTGCTAAATCGTTTGTCATATTAAATTACGAAGATGTCAAACAGAATAACTCTAGTTTGCATGTTTTATTTACTTGTATATTGAATTTTGGATCTTGACCTATCCAAATGAGGATGTTTTTCAAGCTTTAACATTGAAAAATAACAATGATCATCTTAAATTTATTTCTGATTTTGAATTAATTTTGCTGTAACAAATAAGTTACCTGGGGGTGCATTACTGGGAAAGTTAACACATCCACAAGACGGACAACAGGCCGTTTCTCCATATGCATAACGCCTCTTCGGGCAATTAAGTTTCGGACAATTCTTCCTTTCTTTTTTGCAACTTTTTGGACATTCCATACAACAGCCGTTTGAAGCTAGTGTTTGTAACTTTTCACCACACTTTGGTTTTGGACATTTTCTTACGGTGCACGTATAGATTCCAGTTTTGCAACATATACAAACCTTACATGGGTTGAATGGATCAGCAAACACTCCTGAAACAGAAAATTGTAGGTACTTCCACTTTTATTCCTATTATCAGAGACGGCGAAATTTGTTTAAATATGTTAAACAGAAATAAGGCAAATGCCAGGAACATTGAAAGGTTAAGTTCAAACAAAAAGTATCTTTAAAAAAGATACTCGGCCGAAGTAAAACTGGTTTAAATTGCTCAGGTTATTTCGGAGTTGCGCATGCACATGCATTTCAGGGATCGAAAGCGTTATTAATGGACAAACTTATAAAATGCCATTGATAACTCAGTAATGTTTTTATATTGAATAAACTGTTCACCAAAGAATTAAGAATTTTTTTAAGTTGTGTAAAATGTTGTAAAATTTTTAATAGGAGAAAGCACAATTCACATAATATTTTCTCAAATATCCGAGAAATTTAACTAAAAAGTTTGATTTCGAAACTCCTTTTGATTATTTAAGAATTGAGAATTGAAAGAAAATGAAGCCAATGAAATTCATGGATTTCAATTTGTAATTTTAAAATGACAAATGGAAATCCAACTTAATATTATTCCAAAATTCAGTTCATCCCTGTAAATTTTACAGGAATTCAAGCCGTTCAGAGACGGACTCTCTCCAAAAAATGGAAAGTTTTCTTCCGTTTCCAAATTTACACTGCATATTTGTTCTGATTTACTCAAGGCGATTTGTGCGGACTTTCCCAAAGGACTCGCGTTCTGTAATTCAAACACTTTTCTTGAAGAAAGTTTTGATTTTTATTGACCTGAATGCGTCTTTAAACAAAATTATGATAAATTTCTACCACTAATTTTCAAATATGTTTTTAGAATAATTTTGACATTTACTTCCAAGTATAAATATAATGGCACTATCCACAACTATTCAATTCTTCATCACGGTACAATATTTGATTCGGAACACCTCGCTTATTACATTGAGGTTTATCAAGGTTAACCGCCGATTTAAAGGGATATTTATGCAAAATAATGACAAAAATGAATTTCTATTTAAGTTCTATATATTTTGGGTTTGAAGCATAAATATATCTATATATGTTGAACAAAAGTTAGACGCCAATAGAATCCCCAAATAGTTTTAAAACAAGCCAGGTCACTTGAACAAACCCTTGAAGTTACAATAACATAAACTGTGGATATTTATGATTGAAACAAGTCTAAGTCATTCATTTGACATGTTTTTAACGTTTCCAGAGTTCACTTTGAGAACTATTGTGAATCAAGCGCTCTAACCTGACCCACTCGGGTCAAGTTAGGAAACCAACATTTTATTCTTAATAATGAGAAAAGTTTTGTTCCTTTGACTGTCTAATATATTCATTTTGAGGGCATTTACAGAATAATGAATGAAAAATTCAAAACTAAGAAATGAAAATTTTGCCTGTGTCTCCCTTTAAATAATACATGTACATATTTTTTTAAATCCGTGAAAAATAATGTAAATTTCGTAATGACTTATGCAGATACGACCTATACTTTTTCACCAGTTTTAAATGCCATCTGACCTACGGATAGAACAGGACAAAGACTACGTATGTAGAATTCTATGTAGAAGATCTTATATGTGTGACATAATATGACTTTTCCGCCTATTTTTGATTTTTTAAACAGAACCAGAAACTGAATGAAATTCATTATATGTTACATTTTTTGGTAGGTAACTTATTCAGTGTACCCTTAATACCATTACCATGTATGTCGTAAAAATACCAAGCGTGTGATATTCACGCGACACCGGCAAAAAGCAAAAAAAAAACCAAGTTCGCTTCCAAATATTTATGACTGTATCATTTGTTTAATTTGAATATTGATGTTGCCGTTAATCATTTTTTTCTGTATTATCATACGATCTTAAAGGAGGTCCACTGAGGTAAAACAAAACATACAAATTTGAAATTCTTACATACATTAAGAGAAGCATCTAAAATCGAAAACGATGCAAAAGATAATAAAGAAATATACCAAGAACAAAATTTAATATAGATTTTTTTCGTGCGAGCCTTTGCCAGATTTAAGAGAAAATCCTTGCAACGTTTTTCATTTTTGGGTTATTTTGTACTGGAAAAATTGGGTAAGGGAGTGATCTGAAAACTCGCACAGATGTTATTCGTCCAGACCTTTGTCGCAATAAAACACGAATTTCGGAATAATATTTCAGTGACGTCATGTCAAGAAACCTCACACTTTTCATACTTAAACTTTCTTTGACTCTTTGAAGGAAGATATTTGTGAAAAAAGAACCCATTTTAGTTATCAATATATCTATAAACATTATTCTGATTTCTTCGGTTTTACTTTATCAAATGTTCAAAGTAAAACGTCGATGGCGTAAATGTGCCAGAACTAAGAGCAAGGTTATTAAAATATAATAATGCACTTTTGTAACGTCGCTTTTCATTAGACAATGTGGCATTTACATGTATATAGTTATAATATGTTCCCAAATAGGAAACCAAATTGAAAATGTACTTAGTCCTTTCCTTTTGTATCATGGTATAAACCTTTTTAGAATTTGAAATATATGGCGTATTCGTAGCATGTCTAGCGAATAATATTAAGTAACTTGAATTTAAAATATTATCGTTAAAAGTGTATTTATTATTATATTAAAAAATAGTACAACAAGACATTTCCTTTCAAAAGTTAAATGTTGAATAATGTTTTAAGAATGGACTTTCAACATATTTAGAATGATTATCACATACAAATGTACATAAGTAGCACTGATTGTGAATTAACTTGCTATAAAGGTAGCAAAACGTAAACAAAAAGGTATTTTGACTTTTAAATAGAATACTAAATCACTTAAAACTGCATTTATTGCCACAAAAGAAGCAAAATACGGTTCGGCTATATGGCCAACGAGTAATGGGGGAAATTTCACTTGAATATGCAATATCATTCTCCGTTATATTTTAGTAAGGCAACCTATCTAGTGTACTCCTGCAAGCTTTACATATTAGTACCTAGTTAAAAAATTATAGGTAGGAGAGAAGAAGTGTGTGCTTACCACTATATCGTATCCCGTCTTTAATACAATGATACACAGGAGGGCTTGGACCGGACCCTTTGCCACTCTTTGTGCTACTCTTTTTGCTGCTCGTTTTGCTCTTTGATTCACTGGATTTACTTGTGCTTGAACTTGTGCTCGATGGTTTAGCAGATGCGCTACCACTACCAGAGTAGGTAAAAGTAAATGTACCGGAATTTGTACCAGTGAATGTACCGCTTTTTCCACCTGTACCAGTACCTGTTCCGGTCCCTGTACCAGTGCCTGTTCCAGTACCAGTGCCTGTTCCGGTACCTGTACCGCTCTTACTCCCAATACCAGTACCTGTTCCGGTCCCTGTACCAGTGCCTGTTCCAGTACCAGTCCCTGTTCCGGTACCTGTAGTACCTGTTCCGGTCCATGTTCCAGTATTAGTTCCCGTGCCGGTGGCCGTAAAAGTACCCGAAGCTGTCATTGAACCTGTTCCCGTCAATGTTCCTGTTCCAGTACCTGAACCAGTCCCTGTTGCGCTTCCGCTGCCCGTCCCGGCATAAGTAACACTTGCCAGGACAGCAAAGAATACCAAGATAAAAATTACCCTCATTCTGTACCAATGAGGGAAAACAATATTACTCTAATGATTATCAACCTTAGTCGCTTTCTTAAATATATCCACATCAGCCACATATAGTTTCGTACATGATTCATCAAAAATCACATCACCCTTTTTTTCATCATCTGCCAAGTGCTTTGTGTAATTAATGAGTTTAAGTTATAAGCTCATTAAAATATAGTAACAGTTCAGAATCACAAGTTCAGTTTCAAATGCCGCCTTTTCAATCGTTAAGAACTCATTATATATCTGTGTCTTCATTATTTATATTCCGGTCTGCATTAACTATATCTATGTCTTCAACATATATATTTCTTGTCTACATTATCTATGTCTGCATCATTTATATTTCTGTATGCATTACTTATATCTGTTGTTTTCATATCTCTCGCTGCATCAAATATATTTCTGACTTCATTATAAAAATTTCTTGTTTTCACTATTCTGCATCATTTATATTTTTGTCTACATTATTTATATCTCTTTTCTGCGTTATCATATATAATATCTGCATTATTTATATTTTTTATTGAATTTTTCCATAAATAATAGTTTTAAGCATTGCTGGAAAACATAATGGGTTCTAAATATAGGAAAAAAACTCGTGGTTGTTTAACATTTGATGTTATTTGTTATAAAGGCCATCTGTGTAACCATTTTTACAGTGTATATATTTCTACAAACAATGTGAATCGTTGCTCTATTTACTTTTTGGTCAGTAATGCATCATTTTTTTACGACTGATTACTTAATCTAATTACAAAATGTAAAGACATATACGGTCCAACACCCAACACTACATCTCATTGCGCTTTTATTTGTGTGTGTATATTCTATATTTTACATATGTTACAAATTAAGGCTCAAAGAAAAGTATGTATATAGACAAAAGTTCGGTTGAGTGACCTCAATTAATATAAAATATGGTAAACAAAATCAACAAGGAAAGGCGGCGTTCTAATGAACGCAACATAAAAGCTTGTTGGAATATACGTGTATTGATATTTTTGTCTGACATGAAACTATATAATGACTTTACTTCCAATTTAATACGCTTTACAAAAAACATGTATTCATTTGCTAGTTACAGTACTATTCTTTTGTTTGTATGAAATATTTGTCTTTACTTTCTTTATTATAGTGTGTTTTGCTTAGCAAATCATTAAACTAAATATATTAAAACATATCTATGTACGTATGTTATGTTTATATTATAGGTGAAGTCGTGTAAGTGTTTAGTTAACATGTACTTAAAACATAGATAAACGGAATTCTGTACCTATACAATTCATTGTGTGCCATATTTTGCGAAGTAAAGCACATGTTACTTCCGGTCACTAAACGTACTTTTGTTAGGAGCTTATATATGTTAACTTTATTCTTCACTTGCGGTACATGAAGTATACTTGTTAATACACTGTGGCAAAGCCAATTTTTTGTCAGTTTCAATCAATGTTAAAATCAATTGAATTCCTATTTCAGCAGAATCAACCGCTAGTATTTTAATCAATGTACAATATATCTACAAGCACATAACCTTACATCAATTTTTGATTAATGTTAAAAAACTGTGCAAAAATTATGATCATAATATTTTTCGACATTGCAGTTGATTCACGCCTGAAATGGGATTGTTATACGTAACGTACAATAAGTAAGTAGACATATATAATTGACAACCATTGACATAAATGCAACAGCATGGGAATATAAAGGGAGCTTGTTTTATATACGCAAGTTTTCATTCCTGAAAACAATCAGCTGTTACATAATTCAATTATGGCGCTCTCATACCGCTACATGTTCAATTATGGCACGCCACTACTGTTTCTTGTTCATTTACGACATGCCGCTCCTGAAGAGAGAAAAATATACTAAAATAGGGACAACCTCAACATAAGGACGGACGTGTCAGCCCACTATATTAGGTTTCGGTCCCCATATTGTTTGTGGATTACACGCAGGTCCTTATAAAGTCGAGATATCCGTACACGTATGTACGTTTTCACTTAAGAGATAAATTACATACTTAGCATTGACTGCAACATTTCCACTAAAACTAATGGAAATTGTTAAGACGCGACGTCAGATCATTGGGCAAACTGCACTTTTTGCTGTAGTACAATATCTTGAAGTGTTGTTTTTCCAGGAACTATTTTATAAAATAATAAAAATTATATATCAAAATAAAGGAAAATTTTCACCTGACAAAATTTTTATCATTATGATTCGCCGTTCATTGATGCAGAATTTTGTCATAGCAAAATACAACATCAAACGATACCAAAATCGCATGTAGAGATGTAACGAAAATGTCTGAGCAACAGAAGATTATACTTACATTTTGCCAGAAACTGGCGCCAAAACGTTTTAAAATTCATACTGACGTTGACGTCATCATTTACGCAGATGATGTCATTTGAATTAACGTTAACGTTTGAAAAGTGCGGAGAAAAATGAAGATTTCGTGAATGAGAAATTTGTGTAGAGATACAAGAATTGTGTTTAAAGAATGACGGGTAAGAAATTTTAAATGAATGTTTACCTTATATTTAACTTAATTTTGAGATCATTTTTAGATTTTCAAAAATGCGTTTTCAAATTGTTTCTTTTCCTGTTTTTGTTAGAAAATAATATATATAGTTTGTAAATTATGAGCAAATATTTATGTCTAGCGGAAATGGCCAAAATTGGAAATAATGCGTTTAATCGCGTCATTCACCTTAACATTTATCGAATAAAATAGTTTTAGCAATGAAACATTTTATTTCAAATTTATTCTAAATAATAGCGTTTTTCTGCTGTGTATGCTGACCAAATTTCATTTTGGTATCATTATTTACCTGCTATAAGTGATAATATTTCTAAGTCTAGCGAAAATGTCCCAAAAGCTATTTTTGACATAAAGTAACGTCATTGTGCGTTTGGTTTCAAAAATTATTTAAATATCAAATTAAGTTACATTTGTATTCATAAGATATCAAATAAAGTCATTTAAAATATTAAGAAAAAGTGGAGAATCTTCTTATTTTATAATTATTTATTCTGTCAGTCACTGCATGATCTTTACAGGTAGATGCATACAAACTTATTCACAAAATGTAATATGTTTCCATTAAGCATGAATCGCGGAAAGCACGTATCGCGAGAATACTCCTGCAGGAGGACTGCGATTACTCGAGATGATGATGATGAGCATTCATAGTTTATTCACATTTTTCAGGTGGTTCCAAAAGACAAAATATTCAGAAAAGAATAGACAACAAGAAAGGAAAGCGGAAGAAACAGAAGTTGGATTGGTATAAGAGAAACGCAGCGAATATCAACTACCATCGTAGAAATAAAATACAAGGTAGCTTTTACATTTCTTCCGTATTTTTATGAAGTACATGTAATTCATTAATAAATTTGTTCGTTCATTCGTTCGTTCGTTCGTCCATTCATTCATTCATTCATTCATTCATTCATTCATTCATTCATTCATGCATTCATTTTCTGTTAATGAACAAGATTATTTGTTGAATCAATCAATCAATCGATCGATCGATCAATCAATCAATCAATCAATCAATCAATCAATTTATCAATCTATCGGTAGATGAATAATTGACTTTTTAAGTATTTTCTAAAAAAAATGATACACTTCCGCCAGCAGTCTAACTTTTTGTCATGAATGTGTTCAACGTTTTAAATTTATTTCCAGATTATTCACAGACGGACAATGCATTGAGAAAACGGTATATTAGACAGACACAAGCAGAGGCAAAAAAGAGGAGAACAGAGTATCAGAGAAAATGGAGGTCGAAGAGAAAAAATAAAGTCAGTGACATAGAAATTGCAAGCTTTCCAAATAGAATGAAAAAGTTACGAGCTTTGAAAAAGATGAAATCTTCTTTGCCGAAAACACCAACCAAGAGAGCAGCAACAATCGCGGCATATTTTGAAAACCATAAAAGTCCGGTCGTTCAATCCGTAAGAAAGAAATTAATTTCAAATAATGATAGCAGAGAAGATATGGTTTTACTAGAGGCTGTTATGTGCGACATAAAAGAAAATTTGAAACTCAAGAAAAAGAAAAGATCACATGAGGCGAGAATTGAAATGAACTCTATCACAACAACTATTAGTGGAGAGTCAGTCAGTAAATCAAGATGCAAAGTTAAGCTTGCTAAAAAACTAGGTGTTCCAGTTAGAACTATAGCAAAAGGGTATATAATTAGATCTCAGATCTCCCACGCTGATGAGTCGTGTTTCAAATATACCACTCGCAAAACCCGCAAAGATGCGATATCAGAAGAACTTAAAAGAAAAATTTATGATTTTTGGTGTGCACCTGACAATTCCCATCCTTCAGGCAATAAGAATGACGTAAAACGAGTTAGAACTGGTTTTAAGTCTTACACAAGTCATACAGTACAGGTTTTACGGAAAAAAATTTACACAAAGCAACCCTGACATTAAGATATTACAGCGTTCATTTGAGCGATGTAAACCATTTTTCATACGACAAGCGACAACAAAAGACAGAATAACTTGCTGCTGCAGATATCATATAGAAATAAAATCTGTATTCAGAAAATGCATGGACTTCAGGAAAAAGAATTGTAATGAATCCCCAGCACCAGTCTATGATAACGTATACGATTTCAGCTTCATGAATTCTCGATTTAAACTTCAAAAATTCACGATTTCAACTTCATGAATTCACGATTTCAACTTCACGAATTCACGATTTCAACTTCATGAAATTGAAATCGTGAATTCATGAATTCGTGAAGTTGTAATCGTGAATTCGTGAAGTTAAAATCGTGAATTCGTGAAGTTGAACTCGTAAATTCACGTAGTTGAATTAATGAAGTTAAAATTGTGAGTTCGTAGAGTTGAAATCATGAATTCGTGAAGTTGAAATCGTGAATTCATGAAGTTGAAATCGTGAATTCGTGAAGTTGAAATCGTGAATTCACGAAGTTGAAATCGTGAAGTCGAAATCGTGAATTCATAAAGTTGAAATCGTGAATTCGTGAAGTTGAAATCGTGAATTCATGAAGTTGAAGTCATTTTCATGAAGATGAATCGTGAAATCGTGAATTCCGTATTTTGAAAACGGGATTCACGAAGTTCAAGTTGTGAATTCATGAAGATGAAATCGGAAATTCATGAAGTTGAAATGGCCCTACCGGTCTTTTGTATAATAGTAAGTGACAAAACCTGCTATAACATCCCACATAAAAGAAAACTTGTTTTATATCATTATTTATCATAAATTAACCCAGTCTTGTAGATGTGATACATTGTCCTAGTGTTTATAGTACCCCTTTAGAATATTGTTTTAATGATATATGTATTGTTTTAGTACATGCCTAAAGTTATAATGTTAATCTTAATGTGCTCTGATATGATCGTCACATACCATTACTTTACAACCTTGTTTTAGAATATGGAGCATTCATTTTGGCATATGATTATACTTCAATCATTTTACATCTCGTTTTAGTTCAACAATGATACTTTTATTTATTTTTTTCTATATTATATGTATATAAAAGTGAAATGCAAGTGTTTTGTTGTGTAGGGAATGTGTGAAGCTAAGGAAGATAAATCTTCAGTGCATAAAACAGTGTCCTGTGTTTTGGGCTAGTGAGTTGTCACCCTTAGAAGAAAATAGTCCCCTGTTATTCTATTTAGAATGGCTATACATGTACTTTATGTTTGTGTATTGTATATTTTTATGCATATTATATGTTTACATGTATAGATGAGACTCCAATAAACATATAAATAAATATATGGCTTACTATTTTGTTGTTGTTTTTGTTGGTGTATTGTGATTGTTGTTGTTGTTGTTTTTGTTTATTTTATTTTATTTTATTTTATTGTAGGCATTTTGTGTATGTGCGTGCGTGCGTGTGTTTGCTTGTTTTTGTTGTTGTTTTGTTTTTTTTTTAAGTTGATTTCTTTTGCATCTGTGAATACTCGAGTGAGTGCATGTGCGCTTTGGTTTTGGCGTTGAAATTTAGCAGGTTAAGCGTTCAAAATCAGCAGTGTAAGCGTTAAAATTTAGCAATGTTAGCTTTGAAATTTAGCATAGTAATAGTAAAACTTAAGCGCTGAAAATCTTAAAATCTAGCAGAGTAAGCATTAATATTTAGCAGCATGAACGTAAAAGTTTTGCAGTGTTAAATATAAATTTTGCCAGTGTGATAGTAAACATTTAGTAGTAAAGGCGTTAACATTTAGCTGTGAAAGCGTTAAAATTTAGCAGTGTAAGTGTTATAACTTAGCAGTGTAAGTGTTATAATTTAGCAGTGAAGGCGTTTAAATCTAGCAGGATAAGCATTATTATTCAGCAGGATAAGTGTTATAATTTAGCAGTGTAAGTGTTATAATTTAGAAGTGAAGGCGTTTAAATTTAGCAGTGAAAGTGTTAAAATTTAGCAGTGTAAGTGTTATAATTTAGCAGTGTAAGTGTTATAATTTAGCAGGATAAGCCTATAAATCTGGCAGGGTAAGTATAAAAATTTAGCAGGGAAAAGGGACTTAAATTTAGGAGGATAACAGTTATAATACATCTTCTTCACCATATTCTCATCGTCATCGTAGTAGCATATTTCTCTTTTGTCATTTCGAATTTTCCAAATTGGGTTTGTTTATTAACATTAACAATACAGGGTAGACTTTCACCATGCTTATTTGTTTGAGCAAGAAAATAAAATTCCTTAACGGTTTTTTTTTTTGTTTTGAATTAACACGCAATGTCAACTTTCATCATCATTACTAGTTTGAGACCGAAATAAATGGCGTCTAAATTCAGCTAATTTGATCATTCTTTTCATACATGTGTTTATCTGAATAGATAATAAAGGTAAGTAATACATCATAACTCGACAAATATATTGCTCTAGTTATCTTCCTTGATGTCTAAATTGAATGTGTAATGAACACTCTGAGAGTAACATGTGTTTATCTGAATAGATAATAAAGGTAAGTAATACATCATAACTCGACCAATATGTTGCTCTAGTTATCTTCCGTGATATCTAAATTGAATGTGTAATGAACACTCTGAGTTTTGAAATGTTCCTGGGCGATTTAGACAATTTCGCGCCAAATTTTATTTCTCTCTGGCTTATGTTAGGGTCATATATAAACCTATAGCAGAAAGAAAACGTCATGTAAACTTTACATGGTTATAGAATATGAAAACAAACGGGTTGCTTAAATTGAAAAACAAATACGTTTATATTTCTGATGATCTATTTAAGATAAAAAGATTACACATCAGATCATGTAAAATAATGCATTTGAATGACATTACTAAAGTGCTGCTATCTCTTTCCACGTAGGAAATGTTGAAGGATCATCAACACATCTTCTCCTCATTAACTTCTTGAAATCGTCTCCTAACTTCATTGGTTTAGCACAAAAAGCACGAGGGTACCAGTCGGATCCAACGCACATGCACACTTTATCCCCTATCTTCTTGAACTCTCCGTATTTGATGACATGAGGTCCTTGGCTGCATGTTTTACCTAAAATGAATTGAAACAAGAAAAAATACATGTAGTATTAACAATAAGCTGCTGCTGGTGGTAGTGGTGGTGGTAGTTTTCACTCCGGATCGCGACAGTAAACCACATTGAATGTACCAGAGCAGTTCAGCCACCGTTTTTATTATTAATAAATGATTTATTAAAACAAATTACATTAAAAAGCACTACCACAATGAAGGATATGAACTGCACGCAAAGTCGCGTGAAACATAACTTTAACTACAGAATTGTGTATACATACATATGTCAGCTTCTCTTTACTTACCGTTTGGACAAATATAATTACAATCTGTGTCAAACGTTGCATCTACACATTGAAGTTTTACGGCAGGACAAGCTGGTCGATCACATATCACCTCCATATTCGCTTTGCATCTACAGTTGTCACATGCGAGGCCGAAACGTCCTGAAATATGCACATTTTCAGATTATGTCGTACAACCCCTTTCTATAATAAAAAATCATCGTAATAAAACAAAAGTGTCCATATCCTTGAATTATGTCATATGTACACGTTTTTTTTGTTTGTTTGTTTGTTCGTTTTTTTTTTGTTTTGGTTTTGTTGTTGTTGTTGTTTTTTGTGTTTGTTAATTACTATGGTTAAATATAAAGATTAACCTCAAGATGAGTGCAGATTTGAACACAAAACTGGTGATCTGATAGCGAACGCCAACTTAACAAGCATGATCGGAACAGGTATAATTCCTCAGTTTATTAAATACATATTTAAAATAAAACATGTTTTTGGTACCAAAATTATTATACATAAATAGTCTTACATTATACAAACATTCCAGGAAAAAATATGTAGGAAAGGTGTTCAATTTATTACATAGACAGTTTGAAAACCTCCCTAATAATTTACACGCATGTGTTTTAGTGCAACAGATGCTTAATCTGGGATCAATGGCAATAGTAAATCATTCTACCCCTTTTTGGCCAGCTTTAAAGTCCGGTTTATGCATGTCTGTTCACGTTTGCTCCATTCTTCTTTGAGAGCCTTTTAAAAACGGACATAGTATTAATCTTGCGTTTCTGTAACCTGCGTTTCAGTATACCCTAGATATTAAAGTCCATGGGAGCTGCATCTGGGCTTTTTGGCATCCATTCTGCATGTGTTTTGTAATTCACTTTGCGTTTGTTGAGAAAGAGTCTTGACTCATTGTTCCAGGAAAAAATTGCGGAACATCTTTTTTGAGAAATAGCTCGTCTTTGTAATATTTTGCATTTATTTTTTACCCCTTTATTTTTGAAAATTAGAGATGTCTTCCCGAAGCAACTAACCCCGGCCAAAACCATAAACTCAGGTGCAAATGTATTTCGTTTTACAAACTTTGTTTTGTGAAGGTCTGTCTCTTTATTTCGAACGTAGCAAACACGACGTCGACCGTAACTACCGCCAACATAAAACATAGCCTCATCTGTGGTGACAATATCTTTCTATTTTTCACAGTTAGGGCCGAGATAAAGACGCCATGGCCGAGCTCGTATTTTCAAAATCTGGGCCTCACTAAACCTATGAACTGAGTGTTGCATTTAGAAGTTTGGCTATAACTCTATTGATATTGCCTAGAGGCACCACACACTTAGCTGCTATTTCTCTTTGTGTTAGAGGCTTCACCAGGTATTCATATTACAGATTTTACGTACGATGTCAGCAGTAGCTGCTGTGCGACGTTTGGTAAAAGAATCACTTTAACATGTTTTGTGTATGTCATTTCGAAAAGCACCTTTACCATGTTGAATGCGATACACAAAAGCAGCAGAAATATTATATCCCATCTGTTTTACTTATTTCACAATGTTTCTGTAGGATATATTTTGCTTCAAAAGTCTTAAAATAGTGCCCTGAACTAAATCATTTATTTTTGGTCTTAGTATATTAAATTTTGAAATCAAATGAGATGGGTATATGTATGATACACTACTTTATATAAATTGATCAATTTGCACTTATTTTTGTAAGCAATAAGATCTTATAAAGTGTTTTGATTGTGTTTCATAATAAATTGAACACCTTTTGTATAAAGCACGTTTCTGATATCCTTCTTCATAAAAAAAGGTTTAGAATATTTACCTCTTGGGACCATAACGCCTTCATACCAGCAACGACATTCAGGGCAACATTCGTTTGGTTCGTAGTAATGATTCAATGTTGGACATGTGAGCTCTCCACACGGTGGATTTATATTTTGACAGATGTTCGAACACACTTTACAACCACACGTGGGGTAGTTTGTATCATTCCTGTACAGGTCAGTTCCACATGGTGGTTTCGAGCACACTGACCGACAGTTATAGCTACCATCTTCCATGCAATCACATACACTACATGCATCGTCTGGGTTCATGAATTCTCCTAAAAAGGTTGGAAAAATAACAATTTATTGCTAGTTGCATATCAAATTATCAAATACAAAATTGAATGTATTCATCAAGACCTCCCTCAATATCGAATCGCGTGTTAATATATCTTGCTTTGTTTTGTGCAATTACATCTGCAGAACCACGAGGACACATTTAAAGCCAGACCCTACAGTCCAAGGGTTTCTGCAGATGTTTATGCACGGAAAAAAGGTGCATTAGCGCTGTTGTTCTTGCATTAAAGTATATCTCTTAATCAGTAATTTCGCGTTTAGTAATCTGTTTTTCGTACAAAGGAAACATTGCTTGCGTCATGCTTTCCGCGTGCTCGTGCGATGCCATTTGACAGTTATAGTTTTGATAATAGAACGTGGAAAGCATGGCGCAAGCAATGGTTTCTTTGTGCAAAATGCGGAATCACCGATTTAGAGGTATTATTTTATGCAATTATAGCGCTAACGCACTTTTTGTTCTATATGTGTAACGTAATGCGGTTGCATCAAATATTGATTTATTCCCCTTTTTTAAAGGAAAGGATAATTCCATTATTGCTTTTAAATGTTTCAGTACTATACTTTCGTTTTTCTTCATACTTAGCTTATGTAGAATATATTTGTTTGACTAATGATTGTTTAAGAGGAAAGACATGAGACAAAATAGTTACCACAAAACATGCATATTCCTGGAACTTTTCCAGGTCATTTGTTCTCAAATTTTGTATATGAAAATGAATATTTGTATGTGAAATATAAGTCAGCGATTACAATTTATGATATACTCAACTTGACATATGTAAAGCATGATCTATTATGAAAATATAAACACGTGTCTCTCAGGGTAATAGTGGATATTAGCAACTCAAGCACTGAAAAAAACACCCGAGGCGGAGCCAACATTTTATTAGATAAACAGATTATTCAGTGCCAAATAATATTATTCCTATTTATAATTATTTTAATCATTTATAAATGACATAACATTTACTATCTGTTAATAAAAATCTACCTTTCTTTTTTTCATATATAAAAACATTAACGAAATAACCGTATATTAACATTTAAAATACACAAGTTACATTTTAGTCCCAGCATCTAGGTATATAAGGATTAGTAAATATTTTATGTATGGAAAGGATAAATTGCTGATCTTTTGACAGATTTGACAGACAGAGAAATTATTGATTGGCCGGCAGAGTGGGAAATTGTTGATCGTTCAGTCACTTACCTGCAGGATATAGGTACGGGCCTACCTGACACTTCACATCACCTAACGTCAACGTGTACGTCACATCAACGTGAAGAAACAGAAATATTCCAGAGGTAAGTACAATATATTTATACATATCCATGATAGTATCCAAACTTTCACTTTTATTTAACGCTACTTTTTTCAAATCTGCTCGGATTATAACAAAACTAATATCGTCCCGTTATTTCGTAACTCACAAATCGATGATTTGATTATTATTTTCTTCTTTCGGATTCACAAACTATATGAACTGTAACATATTAACTTTCACTGATTAAGCTATTTTTAAATATTTTTATAAACTTGTATTCAGTATCTCCAAACAAGGAATAATTATATAAATATAGTAATTTATCCAGTCGCACACAATGACCATTTGCTAATCCTATGTTACGGGTTAAAATATAATTTGTCATTACATGTTTGTGGTTATCATAAATAAAACAAATTTCTGCAATCTGTTACCTAGGTTACTTCGAAAAGAATGGGATATTGATGACATTTCACTTTTTCATTTGCTATTCTATACCCGTACAATGAAATTAGGTTATGCGGAAAAGAGGGAGAGTTTCACTGTGATTAACAGATGGCAACATTTTTATACAGTATTTTAACATATGGAGTTTTGCTTTTGTTTGCGCCATAAATAATCATTTCTGTACTCTACATGTAGCCAGTATAATTATTGTGACGCAGTGCCCATTTCAGGCGTCATGTGGACAACACGAGGAAACAATAACTACCTACAACGGTAGCATTTTCATTTCGATTGGCTAGTAGGAACGACTGTTACATCAAGAAAAGGCACACTGGGTTGATATTTTGCATGTGTTTGTTTGTCATAAAGCAACCGAAAAATATAACTTTATGTAAAGTTGTTAAGATTTATAATGAAATATTTTGAAATCGTACAAATTTTGATAATAGTCCGGATAAAAGTAATTATCGACAAATGTGTTTCCGGTCGATAGTTTATCTGTTATTGTCCACATAAGTTTATAGTTTGATCATGTGAATTACATCAAAGTTCAAACTCCTTCACGGCTATTCTTAACATGTTTAAAGCAACAGTTATTGTTGCCGTATATAAAGCTACAACTATTGTTATCATATATAAAGCAAAGGCTATAATAATTATTTACTATAAATAAGACTACAGCTATAGGTACCATATATATAAAGCTACAGCTATTGTTACGATAAATAAAGCAGCAACTATTGTTTCCATATATTAAGCAACAGCTATTGTCACCATACATAAAGCAACAACTAACGTAACCGTATATAAAACAACAGATAGTGTTACCACATATTAAGCACCAGCTAATGTTACATGGCATAAAGCAACAGCTATTGTTACACAACATTTAGCAACAGATATTGTTACACAACATTAAACAACAGCTATTGTTACACAACATTAAGCAACAGCTATTGTTACACAACATTAAGCAACAGATATTGTTACACAACATTAAGCAACAGCTATTGTTACACAACATTAAGCAACAGCAATTGTTACACAACATTAAGCAACGGCTATTGTTCCACAACATTAAGAAACAGCTATTGTTACCATTGATTACGCAACAGATATTGTTACCATAGAATAAGCAACAGCTATTGTTGCCATATTTAAAGCAACAACTAATTTAACCGTATATAAAACTACAGATATTGTTACCATATATTAAGCAACAGCTATTGTTACACAACATTAGGCAACAGCTATTGTTACACAACATTAAGCAACAGCTATTGTTATTTTGATTTAAACATATTTTATTGCCAAAAACAAGACATATACATACAGTTACAATACAATGACATGACATATTTGGCAAAAGGGTTGACCCACAAGTTCTCTCAACATTAGCAACGGGTCTTCCCTGACTACAGCTATAGTTACCATACAGATAACTTGACTGTATATAAAACAACATATAGTGTTATCATATATTAAGCAACAGCTATTGTTTCACAACATTAAGGAACAGCTATTGTCACCATTGATTTAGCTACATATATTGTTACCATTAATCCACAACTATTGTAACTGTATATAAAGCAAAGGCTATTGTTACCTCAAATAAAGCAACGTCTATTGTTACCATTTATTAAGAAACAGCTATTGTTACCATAAATAAAGCAACAGCTATTGTTACCATAAATAAAGCAATAGCTGTTGTTACCATGTAAACAGCAAGAGCTATAGTTGTCATACATAAAAGTAAACCAAAAATCTTTCCTTTTCATCATCCATCCCGATATGTATTCGCCGTTGACAGATCAAGGTCAAGTAATGCTTAGTTATAGGGATGATTGGTTGACTTTTGTAGACTTACTGGAATTACTTTTAGTTAGGATTATTACATCTGGCCGGTTGGATTGAATATCTGCGCTCTTGCTTGTCTTATCAGCGGCGACTTGCCTAGGTGTCTTTCTATACCATCTCATTGTTCATTGGCGGTAGAAGGCGGCGAAGGCAACTGCACCCAAGGCATTTCTTTTTAACAATACGACCCAAACTAGTCACGACAGGTAATCTAAAATAAATTCAAATGAATCCATCACAATTTCATCTGACTAAAAAGTAAATATAAATGTATGGTGAATGTATTTGCTGGTGTGACAGCTTAACATAAGTGAGAGATAAGACTTGAGACTGACTCGACTTAAATGATCAATTTTGTATTCGTTTTGAACATTTTAAAGAAGAATAAAATTAAAAACGCCAATTTGATTTTGCCGTAGCTTTTGGCCTCTCGACCTTCTTCAGCGACATTAATTATAAATATAAATATATTCAGACAAAACGGAAGAAGTGACGTAACGTCATCCCCGGGTTGCGTTTCATGGAAAGTCCTTTGTCTAAAATTAGTCTTTAGACCGAAACTGAGACAGTTTAGTGCTTCAAAGAAAATGTCCTAATTTTGATTCCTATGTAAATGCCTGTTTAGTATCTGAATAGTCATGTTATTGAGCATGACCAGACTGTGGGTTTAAGCATGTGTTCAAAAGTACTCTTATCTTTTCTAAGGGGGGGGGGTGAAATTAACTAAATTCCAAGTCATTGACAAAAGATCAAAATATTTATTGAAACGGTCTTAAATTAGTGCAATAGTTGCGCATAAGGCCTAGGACTCAGGATACTACTTAGGACTTTCTATGAAACGCTGCCCAGAAGAATGAATTTAGTTTTTGAATGTAAATGTTACCGAAATATTACTCTAGTAGCAGTTTACTTCATGTATATCCTGAAGTTTTTGACCTGCCGATAACAAGTAGTAAGTGTGTCAAATCAAACAATGGTAGGAAATGAGTGTATATGATAAATAGCGGAAACAATATATGGTTTATCAATAAATATATCAATAAAATATCAAATTTGATGATCCTCGCACAATTTGTGAAACGGATATGGTTTAATATACGTTTCCCAAGCCTTTTTAAAAGGTCAACTCTTCTTGTAACTTTACAGTTTTGCACAGGATCTTCAAGAAAATGGGCGTCGTAATGCGAGAAATTTTCTTACTTACCGTTATTTTTCTTGTAGGCCGAGCGCTATGTGGTGTAGATAGAGGATTCGAACAGACTGAAGATGTGGAAGAATTTCAGATACCTGATGATGATAGTAACACTAGTGATGGTGAAGACGGCTTTATAGAAGAATCAGAGGCAGGCGACAGCTCAGGTAATTAAATTGTCGAATCGGGATTTTTATCATTATTTGAAGGAGAAAGACTCATGTTAGTTCTTCAGCTGCGTTTTTATTTTAATTGAAAGTATGATTTAAACGTAAAATAAATGTACAATGTATTTGAATATAAACCTGAAGTAGGTAATTCGTGTGTGATATAAATTTTATTTATTTATTTATTTATGTAAAAAATATGTTTTGTCTTACTTGAGAATACATTTCAAAATTCCAAAATTCTTGTCTAAACAGAGAGTTCTAGGCTGTGGAACAAGATATTGACAGTAAAGAATGGAGGACCTTGGGGTACATGGGGGAAGATTGAGTTCTGTCCTGGTGATTCGTATGCTGTTGGCTATGACATGAAAGTAAGATAAAGTTTTTGGTTTGATGAACTAATCAGCGAATTTTCTAAATTCAAAATTTCACTATTTTCATGTTTAAAATGTTGAATTCGTCTTAAGCCTGTACTAGGGTTCGTCGACGGCAGCTTGCACTTACCAGTTCTGTCCATGATCAGGCTCAATCAAACCGAGCCTGTATTATTTTTTCAATTTTGTCGATCTTTAGAATCGTCATGGTGGAACTTCATTGTAATCGTTTAGACTTTCATTTATGCATTTGTACAAGTTAAGATGTGTCATACAAGTTTAAGATCTATAGATTGTTTTCAGATTTTATGCCTGTGAGAACAGTTTTTTTTAGTAATCAATGAAATAAAATAATTGTAAAAAGTAAGCATAAGAATTTATTCATGATGATATGATTTCTTCTGATTTCTTCTGAAACACGAATAAATAATATATCTTCTTTACAAATCCAGATAGAACCCAAAGTACGCTTCGACAACACTGCATTAAATGCAATCAAACTAATCTGTGCGAATGAGAGAGGAAAATACATCGGTGAAGTAACTTCAACACAAGGCAAATGGGGTTCCTGGGTAGGACAAATAAATTGTACCGGGCACAGACACCTTGACGCGTTCGATCTTCAAGTAGAAAAACCTCAGGTACATTTTAATCCATTCATTCATTTTATTTATTTATTTATTTATTTATTTATTTATTTATTTTTTTATTTATTTATTCATTTATTATTAGTATCTATTTTATGTGTTTATTATTGATTGATTTATTTATTTATTTATTGTTAATTAAATATTTATTTACTTATTTATTTATGCATACATTCATTTTTTCATTAAAAGTACTTTCAAATAAATAAACTAATTAATTATTTAATTAATTAAAACACTCTAAATATTAGAAGAAAACGAATTTATAGCAAGTCACAGTTGTTTAGTGTTAACACATTGCTGATTTAAAGCCTGACAGTTTTATTCCCTTCAGCCATCATTCAAAATATTTATTTAAGACTACTTTAGTGTGATTTTAATTTGTTTTCATACAGGGAAAATGGAAGGACGACACAGCAGCCAACTACGTGAAATTTAAGTGTCGGTGTCATTGTGGACATGCCTACGAACTGGTCAAACCGCCAGGACACGGCTTTTGGGGGAAATGGGGCGCATGGAGCGACACATGTCCTAAAGGATCAGGAATTTGTGGAATCCAGACGAAAGTAGAGAAATACCGCGGGAAACTGCGAGATGATACTGCTCTTAATGACGTCAAATTCTATTGCTGTGAGCTGCCGAGCAATTCAGATAGCCTTAGTGACTAAAATAGTTATAAAGATGAATTTTGTCCGACTTTATGTATGTCACACTTTCTTTGAATACTTTGTATATAAATACTTTTGATAATTTTCAATAAAATGTCTTGGATTGGTAGGATATCAGACATGTTGAATTCTTACGATGTGTTGTTTTTACTGTGAGCTGCATCCCCATGGGATTTGCAATTATATATATATCAGTATATCATCTGTTTCCACAAAAATAACAATAACAAAGTATTATCACAATATTACAAAGGCCGGAGGGGACATTTCACCAATATACGATTTTAACTCCATGAATTCACGATTTCGACTCCCTGAATTCACAATTTCAACTTCATCGTCAATTCGTGAAGTTGAAAATTATGAAATCGTGAGTTGAATTTGTGAAGTTGAAATCGTGAATTTGTTCAGTTGAAATCTTGAATTCATAAAGTTGAAATCGTAAATTTGTGAAGTTGAAATCGTGAATTCACGAAACTGAAATCGTGCAGTTGAAATCGTGAATTGACCTTCCAAAGTTGTACAAAATCGAATTTGCAACGATATTGGTCGAATGGTTTTTCAACAGTTAACACGAGAACATGATGTGTTTTTCACGCAATTTCTTAAGCCTTTATATAAATAAAGAACAAATAAAGAACAAATCGCAGGTCCGAATATCGACTATTGAACGTGGAGTATTTGCTATTATTTTCCTTCAGTTAAATATCTGTGTCATCCTTTAAGCCTTATATAGCAGTAAAGAAGATCCTTTTAACTTATACTATCTACTTGATTTATTTTAATTACGTAGCGTTCATTTTGTAATGACTAACTGTACATGAGATCAATTTCAGCAAGATCGAGCTCTCTCAAGGGCGTTTTTGTCACACACACCAGAACTGATTTCAACTTATATGAAGTTAGAAGACCACTGTCAGAACGTTTTGCTCTAAAATAATGATTTTTTTCTCGAAATGTATACACTTTATAAAAAGAAAGAGCAAATCGCCGCAAAATGACCTAACCATGCGGAAATCTCCAGGACATTTTCCTTGGGTTAGGGCTTTAAATCTTTAAACATGTGAAGAAAACTCTCCATAGTTGTACAAAATTAAATTTGCAACGGAATTGGTCAAATGGTTTTAAATCGAAATTTATTTTTAATATTGGTGATATATCATTGAAATATGTTAAACAGTATAAGTATCTGGGACTTGTTTCAGCCCAACATTTAGACTATGCAATATCTGCTAAAACAGTATCAAAGTCTATGAATTTTAATTTAAAAGCATTTGGAGGGATCCTCTTATGAAGCTTTTACAAAAAATTATGAGTCTACTGTTTAACCAGTAATTACACACTGATTCGGCTTTTTTGGGGCTATGAAATTTTTTCTTGTATAAATGCAGTACAAAATAGGACTGCTCGTTCCTTTTTGTCGGGAGATATACTCCAAATACAGGCACTTATAGAGATATTGTCTGAAAACTTATTATGTCCTTATTATGGGAAACTGTTTTGTCAAATTCATGTATATACACTTCAATTGGTGCTAATTGACTTAATAGGAAAATTTTCACGTGGGCAAAAAGATTGTCAAATAACAGATGTAAGAAATGGAATTATATGGTCTGTCAGAAGTTTAGACAATATGATTTTGATAGCTTTTGTAATATTGATATATATTTTCGAAAAAATGTATACTTAAAATGTACTTAAAGGGAGCACTGGTGTAAATCGAGATACATCGGGATCAGGTTCAGGCAGTAATAAACTTCGTACATACAAAACTTTTATAACTAATTTTGAAAAAGAACATTATATTGGAGTTGTTAATAATATATTTTACAGACGTGCCTTTGCAAAATTTTGAAGTGAGACTGCTGCAATAGACATTGAACTAGGAAGATATAATGGAATACACGTAGAACAAAGACTCTGTTTCCATTGTAATAATGTAGTTGAGAATGAAGCACATGTATTGTTACATTGCCCTCTTTATTATTCAATTAGATTAGAATTACTTCAATCGGTAAACAGACTAAATAATGGTTTGATAATTTAACCGATTTTGATAAATTTGGATACATTTTATCTAATGCAGACATAGCAAAAGTAAGCGCCAAAACCTGCTTTAACATCCTAAATAAAGGAAAACTTGTTTTATATCAATACAAATCATAAAAACCCTGTCTTCTATATGTGACATATTATCCTATTGTTTATAGTAGGGCTGTAGTGATATATGCAATGTTTTATTAAAGTTTCCTTGTTAATCTAGATGTGCTCTGATTTGATTAATCACATACTATTAAGTTAAAACAAAAATTTGACTGTGGAGCATTTTAGCATATGATTATACTTAAATCCTATTTCATCTCGTTTGAGTTTAAACATTATCAACATTGATACTTTTATTGATTTTCCTTGTATTATATTATATAAAAGTGAAATTCAAGTATTTTGTTGTGTAGGGAATGTGTGAAGCTTAGGAAGATAAATCTTCAGTGCATAAAACAGTGTCCTGTGTTTTTGGCTGTTGAGTTGTCACCCTAAGAAATAAACAGTCCCCTGCAATTCTATTTAGAATGACTGTATATGTACTTTATGTTTATGTATTGTATATTTTATATATATCATATGTTTACATGCAAAGATGAGACTAAAGAAAACAAATAAAGAAATATATGACTTGCGTTTTTTTTGTATTGTTGTTGTTGTTGTTGTTGTTGTTATTGTTCTTTTTGTTGATTTTATTTTATTTCATTTTTTAATTATTGTTTGTAGGTATTTTGTGTATGTGGGTGCGTGTGTGCCTGTGTGCTTGCAAGTTTGTGTTTGTTAATGTTTGTTTTTTATGTTGTTTTGCATCTGTGAATACTCGAATGAGTTCATCTTATTAGTTGCTTTCCTTTTTTCAGTAATCTATAGAAAATCAAAAGATTTAAAAAGATTAACACTATCATCTGTAAAATGAAAAATGATACAATACACATTTCTTGTCCAACAAGATCAAAAGATTTTTCTAGATCTAAAAATACAGTACTGACATATTTACCATTCTAAAAGCAGAATTAGTGCTGTGTGTGACATAAATGGTACTGCCTTAACCCTGATTGAGTTTAATAATTGATGTTTGTTTACATAAATAATGATTACACTCGATTTGCTATGTGACTGTCAAATACTTTTTAGAAATTGTAAGCAGGATAGATATAGCCTTGTAGTTGATCGTCACCTTGAATATAGGGAGAACGTAAGCTTTTTTTGAAACGTAAGCTTTTTTGGGGGCTTCGATAGATTCCATATCTATGTGACCCCGCCATAAGTAATGAACTATCGTCTTTTTATACTTATTATCCAGTTGGGGGGCGATAATCTGGGGGTCTGTGGCTGCTTCTTTTGTGCCTTTCTTCCTTTTGATATAATTTCCTTTACTGTAAAGGTGTAATACATCCGTTGTAGAAAATAAATAGCATATTTATTGCAGTTGGTTCACTTTTTCGTAAAGCTAGAACAAATCTAGTAAACTCTAAATATTATTGTCGTACTATTTGAAAATGTGAAGCATTAAACATCTGTAGCTGGACAGTACCGAAACAGATTTATAACAGATTCCACTTTACATTTACAAAATCTATAGAGTCCAATATTCTTTTGTTTAATGTAATTTTAAGAAAAAAGACCAAATTTGTTACAGAAAAAGTAAAGCCAATCATCGTGGCATTATGTTATGTGTAACCTTTTATACCGGTTTATCTGATATTCCAATAACTGATAAAGAACAATTTAAAAAATGAAAATAGCCAAGTCCATTAGCACGGTCAGCGTTAAAAATTAGAAGTGTAAGCGTTAAGTAGGGTTATTAAAAAAAAATAAGCGGTGATAACGTTAACATTGTTAAATTTAAATTTTACTGGAGTGATAGTAAAGCGTTAATATTTAGCTGCGTAACTGTAAAAATTTAACAGTGTTTTATTTAAATTTTACCAGAGTGATAGTAAACATTTAGCAGTGTAAGCGTTAAAATTTAGCAATGTTAGCTTTGAAATTTAGCAGAGTAATAGTAAAGATTCAGCACTGAAAATGTTAAAATCAAGTAGAGTAAGCGTTAATATTCAGCAGCGTAAACGAGTTAAATTTAAATTTTACCAGTGTGATGGTACACATTTAGCAGTGAAAGCTTACAAATTTTGCAGTGAAGGCGTTAAAATTCAGCAGGATAAGCGTTATAATTGTGCAGGATAAGCCTAAAAGTCTGGCAAGATAAGTATAAAAATTTAACAGGAAAACTGGAGTTAAATTTAGGAGGGTAACAGTTATAATACATCTTCTTCACCATATTCTCATCGTCATCGTAGTAGCATATTTCTCTTTTGTCATTTAGAATTTTCGAAATTGGTTTTGTTTATTAACATTAACAACACAGGGTAGACTGTCACCATGATTATTTGTTTGAGCAAGAAAATAAAATTCCTTAACGGTTTTGTTTGTTTTGAATTAACACGCAATGTCCACTTTCATCAGGGACGGAAATAAAAGGCATCTTAATTAAACTTAATTGATTATTTCTTTCATACATGTGTTTATCTTAATAGATAATAAAGGTAAGTAATACATCATGACTAGACAAATTTGTTGCTCTAGTTATCTTCCTTGATGTCTAAATTGAATGTGTAATGAACACTCTGAGAGTAAGACACTCAGTATTGAAATGTTTCCCGATGATTTAGACAATTTCGTGCCAAATTTTATTTCTCTCTGGCGTATGTTAGGGTCATATATAAACATATAGCAGAAAGAAAACGTCATGTAAGCTTTACATGGTTATAGAATATGAAAACAAACGGGTTGCTTAAATTGAAAAACAAATACGTTTATATTTGTGATGATCTATTTAAGATAAAAAGTTTACACATCAGATCATGTAAAATAATGCATTTTAATGTCATTTCTAAAGTGCTGCTATCTCTTTCCACGTAGGAAATGTTGAAGGATTATCAACACATCTTCTTCTCATCAACTTCTTGAAATCGTCTCCTAACTGCATTGGTTTAGCACAAAAAGCATGAGGGTACCAATCGGATCCAACGCACATGCACACTTTATTCCCTATCTTCTTGAACTCTCCGTATTTTATGACATGAGGTCCTTGGCTGCATGTTTTACCTAGGATGAATTTAAACAAGAAAAAATACATGTAGTATTAACAATTAGCTGGTGGTGGTGGTGGTATTTTTTACTCCGGACCGCGACAGTAAACCACATTGAATGTACCAGAGCAGTTCAGCCACCGCTTTTATTATTAATAATGATTTATTAAAACAAATAACATTAACTTCTTCAAAAACACTTCCACAATGTATAATATATGAACTGCACGCAAAGTCACGTGAAACATCACTTTAACTATACATACATATGTCAGCTATACTTACCGTTTGGACAAATATAATTACAATCTTTGTCAAACGTTGCATCTACACATTTAAGTTTTACGGCAGGACAAGCTGGTCGATCACATATCACTTCCATATTCGCTTTGCATCTACAGTTATCACATGCGGGACCGAAACGTCCTGAAATATGCACAATTTCATCTTATGTCGTACAGTCCATTTCTCTAAATTAAAATCAACTAAATAAAACAAAAGTGTCCATAGCCTTGAATGTCATTTGTACACGTTTTTTTTATTGTTTCTTTGTTTGTTTGTTGTTTTTTTTGTTTTTTTGTTTTTTTTGTTTTTTGTTTTTGTTTTAGTTTTTGTGTGTGATTTCAAATCTAAGTGTTATAGATGTATTACTATGTATAAATGTGAAGATTAACCTCAAGATGAGTGCTGATTCGAACACAAAACTGATGATCTGCTAGCGAACGCCAACTTAACAAGCATGATCGGAACAGGTATACTTCCTCAGTTTATTAAATGCATATCTAAACTAAAAACATGCTTTTGGTAGCAAAATTATTATACATAAATAGTCTTACATTATACAAACATTCCAGAAAAAAAGGAAAGGTGTTTAAATTATTACATGGACAGTTTTAAAACCTGCCTAATAATTTACTCGCATGTGTTTTATTGCAACAGATGTTTAATCTAGGATTCATGGCAATAGTAAATCATTCTACACCTTTTTGTCTAGCTTTCTAAAGTCCGGTTTATGCATGACTGCTCAAGTTTGCTCCATTCTTCTTTAAGAGCCTTTTAAAAACGGACATACAATTAATCTTGCGTTTCTGTAACCTGCGTTTCAGTATACCCTAGATACCAAAGTCCATGGGAGCTGCATCTGGGCTTTTTGGCATCCATTCTGCATGTGTTTTGTAATTCAATTTGCATGTGTTGAGAAAGGTAATGGTCATTTTTGACGATATTACTAGAGGCCGAGTCTTGCTAGAATACCATAGCATTTATTCTTCCGGGAAAAAGGTTGCAGAACATCTTCTTTTAGAAATAGCTTAAAAACTTTGTTTATTAAATATTTTGCATTTACTTTTACCCCTTTATTTTTGAAAATTAGATATGTCTTGCCGAAGTAACTAACTCCGACCCAAACCATACATCCAGGTGCAAATGTACGAACAAAAGTACGAACGTAGCAAACACGACGTCGACCGTAACTACCGCCCATATAAAACATATCCTCATCTGTGGTGACAATATCTTACTATTTTTCACAGTTAGGGCCGAGATATAGACGCCATGACCAAGCTCGAAGTTTCAAAACCTGGGCCTCACTAAGCCAATGAACTGAGTTCTGCTTTTAGAAGTTTGGCTATAACTTTATTGATATTGCCTAGAGACACCACACACTAAGCTGCTATTTGTCTTTGTGTTAGAGGCTTCACCAGGCATTCAAATTACAGATTTTACGTACGACGTCAGCAGTAGCTGCTGTGCGACGTTTGGTAAAAGAACCATTTTAACCTGTTTTGTGTATGTCATTTCGAAAAGCACCTTTACCATGTTGAATGCGATACACAAAAGCAGCAGAAATATTATATCCCATCTGTTTTGCTTATTTCACAATGTTTCTGTAGGATATAATATTATTTTGCTTCAAAAGTCTTAAAATAGTGCCCTGAACTTAATCATTTATTTTTGGTCTAACTATATTGAATTTTGAAATCAAATGAGATGGGTATATGTATGATACACTACTTTACATAAATTAATCGATTTGCACTAGTTTTTATAAGCTATAAGATCTTATAAAGTATTTTGATTGTATTTCATAATAAATTGAACACCTCTCGTGTAAAGCACGCTTCTGATGTCCTTCTTCATAAGAAAGGTTAAGAATATTTACCTCTTGGTACCATTACGCCTTCATACCAGCAACGACATTCAGGGCAACATTCGTTTGGTTCGTAGTAATGATTCAATGTTGGACATGTGAGCTCTCCACACGGTGGATTTATATTTTGACAGATGTTCGAACACACTTTACAACCACACGTGGGGTAGTTTGTATCATTCCTGTACAGGTCAGTTCCACATGGTGGTTTCAAGCACACTGACCGACAGTCATAGCTACCATCATCCATGCAGTCACATACACTGCATGCATCTTCTGGGTTCATAAATTCTCCTAAAAAGGTTGGAAAAATAACAATTTATATTGTCAGTTGCATATCAAATTGTCAAATACAAAATTTAATGTATTCATCAAGACCTCCCTCAGTATCGAATAGCTTAATAGTCCACCTTGCTTTGTTTTGTGCATTCACATCTGCAGAAGCACAAGGACACATTGAAAGCAAGAGCCCACAGGGTGAGTACTTTAATAAGTCCAAGGGTTTCTGCAGACTTACTAGTCAACGCAGCATTTTATGTGATGAAATAAAAGATAAGAATTTAAACTTTTTAAAAATGTCTGAAATAAGCAAATTCATTTGGTTAATGAGCAACGAAGATGAAAAAATCATAAAACAATTTGTAGAATTTATTTTTACTTGTTTTAAACTCAGAAATGATAATAAGAAACCATACATTGATTTAACTTAGTATTTGTGTTTTTGGGGGACATGTGTATTGTACGGTGTAGTTATACTACAGGTATAGGCTAACTTTTTGTGTAAATTGAATGTTATTCGAAATGATTATAAAAACATAATGTCATTATTAATTCATATATTTATTTAATTTTACCCATGAAATATGGTGCTATATCAGTTAAATATATTTCATATTTTTTGAAAATAAATATGAAATATAAATATGAAAGTGGGCGGAGTCAAAACTCATACCGGTATTTATTTTAAGGGACTTCTTTCGCCATTTGTTTGAAATATCTGATAAATACAAAACAACTTTTTGTTGAATTTTGAAAACTATCTAAAAGGATAGAAAATGGTCTAACTAAGAAAATAAATACGAACACCAATGTTTAAAGAGTTGTTTACGTGACGTCACAATGTACCGCCAAATATCTCGTGCAAAACAAGACGCATCTAGGACCTTTCCGGTTTTTCGTAGCGGAACATTTAGACACACCTATTCCATTCATTGTTAGGTCAACTGCTCACAAACAGTATCACAAACATAAACACGTGTTCTTTTGTGCAAACCAGTTCAACCAGTGACTATTTATTATCTCAGTGTAGCGATTGGATAACAAGTCAGCCAATTTACATAAAACTGTAAACATCGGAAAGGTCCAATTGCAGTTGCGTAGCAAGCAATGGGATTCGTAACTATTTTTCTTTGATAATAAAATTAAATAAAAAGGTTATTTTTTCGTTTTTCGTGAAATATGGTATATATTTTCACGAAACATGATAAAATGCCACATATTTTCACTCGCCGTCCGTGAAAATATGTGGCATTTTATCATGTTTCGTGAAAATATATTCCATATTTCAATCAAACAAAAGATATCCTCTTGATATATATATTATTATATATATATATAATTATGATGTTTAATGCTAGTTTGCGAAACTCTGCCATTTACTGTGTTTGTTTTTCTAAAAGTTCATTGTTGTTACTATAATACAAAGTTTTAGTTTCTTTAACGTCTGTATTTGATCTTTGATCTCATTATTATTATTATTATTATTATTATTATTATTATTATTATTATTATTGTGATTAACATGTCATTTAACATGACCCTTGATTTGAAATATAAGTTATTCTATTCTATTCTTTCCTGCAGGATATAGGTACGGGCCTACCTGACACTTCATATCACCTAACGTCAACGTGTACGTCACATCAACGTGGAGAAACAGCAATATTCCAGAGGTAAATACAATATATTTATACATATCCATGATAGTATCCAAACTTTCACTTTTATTTAACGCTACTTTTTTAAAAAAAATCTGTTCTGATTATAACAAAATTAAGATCGTCCCGTTATTTCGTACCTCACGAATCGAGGAGTTGACTTTTCTTTTCTTCTTTCGGATTCACAAGCTATATGAACTGTTACATATTAACTTTCACTGATTAAGCTATTTTCAAATATTTTTATAAACTTTTATTCAGTATCTCCAAACAAGGAATAATAATTGGCTCTTGTAATTTATCCATTCACGCACGCAATGACCATTTGCTAATCCTATGTTACGGGTTACAGTATAATTTGTCATTACATGTTTGTGGTTTTTATGAATAAACCAAATTCCTGCAATATGTTACCTAGGTTACTTAAGAAAGAATGGGATATTGATGACATTTCACTTTTTTCAATTACTTTTCTATACCCGTACAATGAAATTAGGTTATGCGGAAAAATGGGAAAGTTTCACTGTGATTAACATATGGCAACATTTTTATACAGTATTTTAACATATGGAGTTTTGATTTTGCTCGCGCAAAAAAATCATTTCTGTACTCTACATGTAGCCAATATATTGTGACACAGTGCCAATTTCAGGTGTCATATGGCCAACACGAGGAAAATATAACTATCTACAACGGTAGCATTTTCATTTCGATTGGCTAGTAGGAACGCCTGTTACATTCTCAAGAAAAGTCACACTTCGTTGATATTTTGCATGCGTTTGTTTGCCATAAAGCAACCGAAAGACATAACTGTATGTAAAGTTGCGCCTGCATACAAATTGTGATAATAGTCCGGATAAAAGTAATTATCGACAAATGTGTTTCCGGTCGATATTTTATCTGTTATTGTCCACATAAGTTTATAGTTTGATCATGTGAATTACATCAAAGTTCAAACTCCTTCACGGCTATTCTTAACATGTTTAAAGCAACAGTTATTGTTGCAGTATATAAAGCTACAACTATTGTTACCATATATAAAGTAAAGGCTATTATTTACCATAAATAAGACTACAGCTATAGGTACCACATATATAAAGCTACAGCTATTGTTACGATAAATAAAGCAGCAACTATTGTTTCCATATATTAAGCAACAGCTATTGTCACCATACATAAAGCAACAACTAACGTAACCGTATATAAAACAACAGATAGTGTTACCACATATTAAGCACCAGCTAATGTTACATGGCATAAAGCAACAGCTACTGTTACACAACATTTAGCAACATATATTGTTACACAACATTAAACAACAGCTATTGTTACACAACATTAAGCAACAGCAATTGTTACACAACATTAAGCAACAGATATTGTTACACAACATTAAGCAACAGCAATTGTTACACAACATTTAGCAACAGATATTGTTACACAACATTGAACAACAGCTATTGTTACACAACATTAAGCAACAGCAATTGTTACACAACATTAAGCAACAGATATTGTTACACAACATTAAGCAACAGCAATTGTTACACAACATTAAGCAACAGATATTGTTACACAACATTAAGCAACAGCAATTGTTACACAACATTAAGCAACAGATATTGTTACACAACATTAAGCAACAGCAATTGTTACACAACATTTAGCAACAGATATTGTTACACAACATTAAACAACAGCTATTGTTACACAACATTAAGCAACAGCAATTGTTACACAACATTAAGCAACAGATATTGTTACACAACATTAAGCAACAGCAATTGTTACACAACATTAAGCAACAGATATTGTTACACAACATTAAGCAACAGCAATTGTTACACAACATTTAGCAACAGATATTGTTACACAACATTGAACAACAGCTATTGTTACACAACATTAAGCAACAGCAATTGTTACACAACATTTAGCAACAGATATTGTTACACAACATTAAACAACAGCTATTGTTACACAACATTAAGCAACAGCTATTGTTACACAACATTAAGCAACAGATATTGTTACACAATATCAAGCAACAGCTATTGTTGCACAACATTAAGCAACAGCAATTGTTAGTCCTCAGTCTAAAATTAGTCTTTAGACTAAAACTGAGACAGTTTGGTGCTACAAAGAAAATATACTAACTTATGACTCCTATGTTAATACTTTTTTCAATTTCTGAATTGTCATGTAGATAAGCATGAACAAATTATGGTTTGAAGCATGTGTTCAATGTATCTCTTATCTTTTCTAAGAGGGGGTGAAATTAACTAAATTCCAAGTCATCGACTAAAGATCAAAATATTTATTGAAACGGTCTTAAGTCAGTGCAATAGTTGCTCATAAGGCCTAGGACTCAGGATATTACTTAGAACTTTCTATGAAACGATGCCCAGAAGAATAGAATATAGTTTTTGAATGTAAATGTTACCGAAATATTACTCTAGTATATCTTGAAGTTTCTGACCTACCGATAACAAGTAAGTGTTTCAAATCAAACAATAGTAGGAAATGCGTGCATATGTTATATTGCGGAAACAATATATGGTTTATCAATAAATATATCAATAAAATTTCAAATTTGATGATCCTCGCACAATTTGTGAAACGGATATGGTTTAATATACGTTCCCGAAGCCTTATAAAAGCTCAACCCTTCTTGTAACTTCACAGTTTTGCACAGGATCTTCAAGAACATGGGCGTCGTAATGCGAGAAATTTTCTTATTTACCGTTATTTTTCTTGTAGGCCGAGCGCTATGTGGTGTAGATAGAGGATTCGAACCGACTGAGTGACTGAAGGTGTGAAAGAATTTCAGATACCTGATGATGATAGTAACACTAGTGATGGTGAAGACGGCTTCATAGAAGAATCAAAAGCAGACGACAGCTCAGGTAATGAAATTGTCAAATCATGATTTTTATCATTATTTAGAAGAGAAAGACTTATGTTAGTTCTTCAGCTGCGTTTTTATTTTAATTAAAATTATGATTTAAACGTAAAATAAAAAAATGTACAATATACTAGAATATAAACCTGATAGGTAAGTAATTCGTGTGTGATATATCTTTCATTTATTTATTTATTTATTTATTTATTTATGTAAAAAAAAATTTGTCTTACTTGAGAATACATTTCAAAATTTAAAAATTTTGTTTAAACAGAGACTTATAGGCTGTGGACCAAAATATTGAGAGTAAATAATGGAGGACCTTGGGGTACATGGGGGAATATCAAGTTCTGTCCTGGTGATTCGTATGCTGTTGGCTATGACATGAAAGTAAGATTAAATTCTTTGTTTTATAAACACATTTGCGGGTGTTTCTAAATTAAACATCTTACCATTTTCATGTTTAAATGTTGAATTCTGCTTGAGCCGGTGCAAGGGGGCCGTGGACGGTAACTTGCACTTACCATTACTGCCCATGAACACGCTCGATCAAACCGAGCCTGCAACATTTTTTCAATTTTGTCGGTATCTACGTTCTTAGGGAATTTGTTTTTCTCTATGTCATTATCATTATTTTAGTCTCCCCCAACTTGATTTATCATCTTGTGTCTAATTTAATGGTTTTTAGACATTGGGCCAGGGAGGAGCTCTTTTAGTAGTAAAGCTGCAGTATTCAAAACTATTACTTTAATTTTAGATTTATACATATTATCTTTATTTTTCATAATGTTTGCCTAATTCTAGAATTTGAGGCACGACATCAGGCTTGTCATTTTTATTACAAATATTTGATATTTGAAACTCTCATTTATGTTTCCCTTTAAATAATTGGCATGGTGGAACTTCATTGTAATCGTTTAGACTTCCATTTATGCATTTGTACAAGTTAAGATGTGTCATACAAGTTTAGATCTATAGATTGCTTTTAGATTTTATGCCTGTGGGATCAGTTTTGAGTCAACAATGAACTAAAATGATATTAAAAAGTTAGCATAAGAAGCTTTATCATAATGATATGAATAAATAATAAATTGTGTTTACAAATCCAGATCGAACCCTTAGAACACAACGACAATACTGCGTTAAATGCGATCAAACTAATCTGTGCAAATGAAAGAGGAAAATACACCGGTGAAGTAACTTCAACACAAGGCAGATGGGGTTCCTGGGTAGGACGAATAAATTGTAACGGGCACAGACACCTTGCCGCGTTCGATCTTCAAGTAGAAAAACCTCAGGTACATTTTAATCCATTTATTCATTCATTCATTCATTCATTTTATTTATTTATTTATTAATTAATTAATTTATTTATTTATTTATTTATTTATTTATTTATTTATTTATTTATTTATTTATTGCTTTATTTATTTATTTATTTATTATTTATTAGTATCTATTTTAATGTTTATCTATTATTGATTTATTTATTGTAAATTCAATAGTTATTTATTTATTTATTTATTTCTATTTATTTATTTACTTATTTATTTATTTATTCATTCATTTTTTCATTAAAAGTACTTTCAAATAAATAAATTAATTGATTAATTAGAACACTCTACATATTGAAGAAAACGAATTTATAGCAAGTCACAGTTGTTTTGCTGATTTTGAGCCTCACAGTTTTATTTACTTCAGCCATCATTCAAAACATTTATTTACAAGACTGCCTTAGTGTGATCTTAATTTGTTTCACACAGGGACGGGGGGACGACACAGCAGCCAATTACGTGAAATTTAAGTGTCGGTGTCATGGTGGACATGCCTACGAACTGGTCAAACCGCCAGGACACGGCCTTTGGGGAAAATGGGGCGCATGGAGCGACACATGTCCTAAAGGATCAGGAATTTGTGGAATCCAGACGAAAGTAGAGAAATGCCAATGGCATGGAGATGATACTGCTCTTAATGACGTCGCATTCTATTGCTGTAAGCTGCCGTGCAATTCAGATAGCCTTAGTGACTAAAGATGAATTTTGTCCGACTTTATATATGTCACATTTTCTTTTGATACTTTATATATAAATACTTTTGATAATTTTCAATAAAACGTCTCTCAGATTTGTAGGATGTCGGACATGTTGAATTCTTACGATGTGTTGTTTTTACTGTGACCTGCAACCAAACGGAAGAGTAAATATAAATACTTATATATCAAGTTAAGATATTCTCTTTTTCCACGAAAATAACAATAACAAATAATTATCACAATGTTACGAAAGATCGGAGGGGACATTTCAACTTCAAGTCAAGAATTCACGTTTACAGCTTCACGAATTCACGAGTTAAACTTCACAAGTACACGAGTTCAACTTCCTAAAGTTCACGATTTCAACTTCATAAAGTCACGATTTCAACTTCACGAATTTACGATTTCGATTTCACAAATTCCCGATTTAAACTTCACAAATTTACGATTTCAACTGAATACGAGAAATTGAAAATTGTGAATTTGTGTGTTGAATTCATGAAGTTGAAATCGTGAATTAGTGAAGTTGAAATCGTGAATTCACGAAACTGAAATCGTGCAGTTGAAATCGTGAAAAGAACAGTTGAAATAACTTCCGTTATATATTCATTATATGGCGTGCTGTCATGAAGCCTTAATAAAAGAATAATGTCTAAATTCCATCCCCTCCAATATTACACATCAATCCACAGTGAACAAGACACATGCGATGTTATTTAAGTTAACACATAGATAAAAACTCATATTGCGTCGAAAGTAAGAACATGTAGTATAACATAGATAAAAGAAATAATAATGATGTGCAAATTTTAACATATCCAGAGATAAAGAAATCAAAATTCTCAAAGATAAAGCAGTCACGTCCAAACATAAAAAGCCTGTGTGCATGTATGCAAAGAGTCCCAACGTTAGCTAGGTTATTAAAATTGTTACAATTAACTTATTTTGTTTGTTTGTTTTTTGGTTTTACGTCACATCGACACAGTATAGGTCATATCGCGACGTTCCAGCTTCACTGGTGGAGGAAGACCTCAGGTGCCCGTCCGTGCATTATTTCAGGCACGAACGGGCACCTGAGTAGAACCACCGACGTTCCGTAAGCTAGCTGGATAGCTTCCTCACATGAAAGAATCCAAAGTCCCTGTCAGGATTCGAACCCACAGCGGTGAGGGGCAAGTGATTTGAAGTCAACGACCTTAACCACACGGCCACGGACGCCCCTTAACGTAAGATGTATACGTATAGGCCTTTATAGATATAATTATAATAAATACGATGATGTTAAAATACAATGTCTAGCACAAAAATAATTATATTGTACTTCACAGCTATAATACCATTTTTTGGACGAGGCACCAGACGAGGCCAATATAAGTTTTTCAGCTTTGAACTAGTCCAGTAAAATCAATACATAGAATTAGAAATGTATATTAAAAAACTCTATATTTCACACCGCCATATTTTTTAGGAGAAAATACTTTAGTACGTTCAACTAAAGGAAACACTAACAGTGATTTTGTATTATATTAATGTTCTAATACAGCCAATGATATCACTCCACTTTAATTTAATATTGAGGTACATGATGTATATAGATTTTATCGTTCAAGTTCAATATGAATTAAACGTGACGTTTTACACGAAAAAATGAAATCGAGACTAGATGGAATACATTATGGATTGATATTTATTCTTAGACTCGGAAAATGAAATCGAGGCTAAATCGATATTAATAATTTTAATTGAAACATTGCGCAAAGGCAAGAAGTTCATTGATTTCCCATAATGATGAAAATAATTTATATTTGTAGCTTAAGAAATAGGAAGTATGGTTATTATTATCCATATCCTGGTTCCGCCCGATAAAATCATTGTACATCTAACATTCTCACAATGATAATTAAATTTTAAGTGTCGCTTAAAAGAGCAGTTTCATGAAAATGTTGAAAATATATATAAAAAATATTGTCAAGTGAACAAAGAAATGTAATTTACAGTTTGCAAACGGCATGTATTTAACCAAATAAAGGTCAAAATACGCAAAAATAGTCCATACTGTGTTGGTCACGCAGTAGAAATACGGTGATGAATACTGCAAACTCAGCACCTCATTGCAAATTTAATGTAAACCATCACCTAAATTGTGTATATTTTTACTTTTCTAAAAAATTTAAAAACTTTTCTTGAAAAAATGTTAGTTCATTTTTCTCAATATTGCATTGAAATATTTTGGCAGCAAATGTTCTCTAGTGTCGTAAATCTCCGGGTTATTCAAAACTCAACGTTAGGAAAATTTACGACACAAATTCAGGGTTTAGAATGCAATTGTTTACATAATTTGCATCAAACCCACTTATGTCATGTTTAATATTTATGATTTCTGTTAAGGAAAAATAACCGAACTTTTAATTTCTTATGACAGACTTGTGGTTTTATTCCAAAATAAAATGTGTTAAATTCATTTTTTTTGTGCTGTACTTTCTTGTTGTTGTTGTTGTTGTTGTTGTTGTTGCTGTTGTTGTTTTCGTTGCACTTATATTTTCAGCTTGCCATGTAAATAATATTTTAATAATACAAATTCGATTCAATCAGCCAAATTGAGAAAGATTAATTAATACCGGAAACACTTGATGATTGACGCAAACTGTTTACAACGCTTATCTAACGCGCCGGTGCACATTTCCGGGCAGGATAACGGTGAAGAACATTTTCAAATTTCATTTCCCATTTTTGATTGCAAACGTTGCGTTCTACGAAGCAGCGACAATGGTAATAAAATCAATCCGCACTCTCGTGGGCTTTATGCTTGTCGGTCAGATATTTTGTGCGGGATTCTTCCGCGTCAGAGATGGAATTGAGGGAGAATTCGAGATGCCTGCTGATGAGACAGTTAACCATCATTTAGAGACTGGAAATGATATTACAAGAGACTATGATGAAACGGAAGTCACTGAAACTGGTGGTATGTAAAGTCTAAAACTATTGAAATTTTCTTTTTACGCTTTTCTTATATTTTATTTGCTTTATTATATTATTTTTGCTTAGAAATACTTGTGTGCGTGCACGTGCGTGCGTGTGTGCATGTGTGCGTGTGTTAGTATCTTTTCCATTTTATGATATCTGAATTTATTTCTTTAAATATAAGGTAATGAATTAGTGATGAGATGTGAAAATGCACAGAATAGTACTAGTTATTTGGAGAATAAAACACATACATACCAAACATTAAGTACTACTCATGTTTTATTTTATTCACGGAATTTATTACGATAAAACATAATGTTATGATTGAATAAACTAATACCATTACATTTTCTGATTATTCTAGTCGATGCTAGATTTGTGGAAATGCTGCGAGTGAACAATGGGGGTCCATGGGGTAAATGGGGACCAGCAAAGTTTTGTCAGGAGGGATCTTTCGCCGTCGGTTACGACATGAAGGTAGAGCAAGCTAAATAATTTTGTGATTTAAGCATTTCTCAAGTGGACACTGATACCTGTTATCTTATGTTTATTTGGAGGTCATATTAATCAATATCGCCACGTATTATTGATGATCAAAACAGACTTCTGATGTATTTTCTAAACTTGTTAAAAATATTATTAAAAGAGGTAATAATTCTACTATTTAAGACATGCCATATGCTAAGTGTGCAGTCGGACACTTAGATTTCCTCTATTGATTATATTTGATGGACCAAATGATAGATTGTGAAAGACAGTTCTTAAAACCCATTGGTTTTGAAACGTTTTAATTTTTGTCTTCTGTCTTGCTTTGTCGGGTCGTTGTAGGTGCTGCTCTATCTTCCTTAAAGATATTGAGTAGTTTTGTTTATGTTTATTGTGTTTACTTTTTATATGTATTCATATGATCATTTACGCTGTCTCGTTTAAAAGGCACATGTTGCAGTTTAGTTTGGGCACCATCAATTGCTTTAAAACTTCTCAGTAGTGCTAATGTAGTGTAATGCTGCTGGCGGTTTATGGCAGCGCTGTTCCCCAGATGTATGTCATGTTTATTGCTATATTCTTCTTGTGTTTTTTCCTTTATTTCCACCCCTTCCTTCGCGTCATTATCCTTTTGTTGGTCTAAAGAATTAATTGCCTTCTCTCATATTCTTGTCGGTTTCTATGATTTCCTATTTTGAATTTATAATCACCACATGTGCGTGCTTTGCCATTGTACCCTTTTCTGTTTTTGTTTGGTGTCCTGCTGAGCTCCTTGCCAATGGTCATGTTGGAGGATGGGTTCAATGAGTGCCGCCCTTGCCTGTTGGTCCTTGTATTTATATTTGATAACTGACTATAAAAACCATTAATTACAGATTGAACCTAAACAGCTTACAGACAATACTGCATTGAATGCCATCAAATTGATCTGTGAGGACCAGGATGGAAAAGTTACTGGTTATGTCACGTCTACTGAGGGACCATGGGGATCCTGGGTCGGACAAACCAAATGCCGAAAGCATTTTTACTTCAGCTCTTTTGATCTTCAAGTAGAGAAATATCAAGTACGATTTTCCTTTTAAAGAAGCTGAGACTATTTCTATTTTCACATACATTATGCCGCTGATTTTAAAACGGGATTTTCTTATGTTAAACATACAAATGTATATAGTCTTTTAATTTTAAAGCTACAATTATATTTTCCTCGGGTCTATTTTTTTTTAAACTAGACAGTTAAACTTATGCAAATTTGTTAATTTATATATGAACATTTACGTATTGATATACATTTTGTATATTTACATTCATAATTTTAGGGTAGAATGAAGGACGACACTGCTGCAAACTATGTAAAGTTTAAGTGTCGGTGTCGTGGTGGTCGTACGTACGAACTTGTCAAACCCCCGGGACACGGTCTATGGGGAACATGGGGAGCTTGGAGCAACCAATGTCCGAATAGAACAGCTGTATGTGGAATTCAGACAAAAGTGGAAAAAGCTCGAGGCAAATTCCGTGATGATACTGCCTTGAATGATGTCAGATTTTTCTGTTGCAAAATGTAATTTATATATCCAAGAAAACTTTCTTTTTCAAATGCATCTCCAGAAAGACGACGAACTAATATTTAAATTCAAAATGTCATATTATTCATCAATCTATTATTTATCTCAGAGTATTTATTATACTATTTAGCCAGAGACAAGGGTTAAGCTATATGCATATTCAGAACCAGCGACCTTCCGTAAGCTAGCTGGATGAAAGAATTCAAATCCCGTCAGTTATCTAGAAAGTTTGTAAATGTCATATAGCTAGATTCAAATAGAAATTATGCCGCAGTACCTCCAGAGGCGAAGACATGACCAAATATAGATTGTCATATTACAGGTACACCACAGTTTTTATGCCCCCACAGAGTGGGAGCATATAGCGTTGCACTTGTCCGTCCGAGTGTCCGTCCGTCCGTCCGTCTGTCCGTCCGTACGTCTGTCCGTACGTCCCGAAATCTTGTGAACGCAACTTCTCTTAAACCGGATGGCAGATTTTGCTTAAACTTTCAGGGATGAACAACCTTAATGTGTAGATGGTAGTAAAGGAAGGAATTTTTGCTGCGACCAAATTTAACAGAATTATGGCCCTTTGTTGATTTTTTCACTATATACTGTGTAGAAATTTTGTGAACGCAACTCCTCGTAAACCGGATGGCAGATTTTGCTTAAACTTCCAGGGATGAACAACCTTAATGTGTAGATGGTAGTAAAGGAAGGAATTGTTGCTTCGACCAAATTTAACAGAATTATGGCCCTTTGTTGATTTTTTCACTTTATACTATTTGGAAATTTTGTGAACGCAACTCCTCTTAAACCGGATGGCAGATTTTGCTTAAACTTCCAGGGATGAACAACCTTAATGTGTAGATGGTAGTAAAGGAAGGAATTTTTGGTGCGACCAAATTAAACAGAATTATGGCCCTTTGTTGATTTTTTCACTATATACTATGTAGAAATTTTGTGAACGCAACTCCTCTTAAACCGGATGGCAGATTTTGCTTAAACTTCCAGGGATGAACAACATTAATGTGTAGATGCAGTAAAGGAAGGAATTTTTGCTGCAACCAAATTTAACAGAATTATGGCCCTTTGTTGATTTTTTCACTATATACTCTGTAGAAATTTTGTGAACGCAACTCCTCTTAAACCGGATGGCAGATTTTGCTTAAACTTCCAGGGATGAACAACCTTAATGTGTAGATGGTAGTAAAGGAATGAATTTTTGCTGCGAACAAATTTAACAGAATAATGGGTTTTTGTTGATTTTTAGTTTTCAACTTGTGGCACATGTAGTCCAAAAAATAGTTGACCTAGAGTCATAAGATTGACAGAACAGTGGCGTGTGGGGGCATCCGTGTCCTATGGACACATTTCTAGTTTTACTTGATTCAAACAGTCATCTTTTAGCTATTCCGATATATAAATAGGCATAGCTTCATCCAAATTGCCATATTACATCAGTACCACCAAAGTTATAGCCAGATGCAAATTGTCCAACTACAGATGTTCCAACAATGGCAGAGCGGAAGCTAGCTTCATTGTGCCATGTTACAGCCATTTCGAGATATATATTAAAATTATCATATTACAGCTTTTCCAAAATATCTGTTTTTAAACCATATTTGTACAGTCCAGTTGCCATTTTAAAGCTATCCCGACAGATATTTAAATTTTAGATTCAATTTGTCCTGTTGCAGCTTTTCAAACAAAGGCAGAGTTATAGCTAGTTTTAAATTGTCATGTTACATACTTTCCATCAATTTAAAAGGAACTAAGGCAGGGATGTAACTTGTCATTTTACAGCTATAGCAACAAAGGCTCAGTTTTATCAAAGTGTAACCTACATTGTACATTCAAAGTCTTTATTAAAGCGGGTGTACAGTTAGATCCAAACTACCATGCTATATTATCTTTGAAGAAGAAGCTAACTGTAATTAATGTAAGGTATCTTAGATTAAAATGTTCTAAAGAACCCTACAATCATGTTAGTTTTTACATAGAGTACGTAGACAGTATGTTTAATGTAGATAACGTGATTGTGTTCTAAATACTCATTTGACATTTGTGCTTCAACTCCGCTGCCTTATCTTTCTTGTCATTCATTTCGACGCATTAAGGAAAATGCTGGCATCAATAAATATAAACATTTTCATTATTGTGCTACCGTGTTGCGTGTCGGGATTTCTCAAGTAAGCCATTTGTTATGTTCTGCATTTTTTTTAAATTTTCTTATTTACCGATATTTTAAAATCCAAATCTTTTACTTTACACGAAATTAACAAAAGAAAAACAGGGCAACCCAAATTGTTCAGTTAACGTATTCGCTTATATTAAAATATACTCTACAATGTGATTTTGTTTGACAATATGATGATATTTGCGTGGGTACAATGCATGCATACGTTCAGGTTTGGCGATAAAGATAATCGTGATCAAGTCATAACAAATAAAAAATGAGAGCAAAGTTCAACAAGGCAAGGCCAGGTTCACAGAACGTAACTGCTGATACAACCTAGCCCCACCAACAGGGCACACAGACACAAAACACCGAACCAAAACGTGAAAGGACGAAACCAGTGGCAAAACGGGGAACGGGACATGCATAACAAGTCAGTCATGCATGGTCATAACTTGATCTTTAAAAACGATTAGAAAACCCGAGACTATACAATTAAGACACATAATGAAGCAACGCGAAGACAAACTCTATTTCAAATTTAACTTAAGATGAAAATGTTCAGGTCGCCAGAAATGTATACCGTACATAATTTATTAAACAAACTTCCAGCCTTTTACCACTATTAAATTTCCTTGGTTTTATCACATTTAAGTCCGGGATGTATAGCTGATGAAGTTCAAGGTCAGATGAACTACTCGGTGAAGAACATACTCGTGGAACCATTCTTTCATCACCGGATACAAATGAACATCACTGGCTGTAATACAACCAGACTAATCACGTATATGGAACATGCCTGTGACACACGCAAGGACCTTTTTAATAAGTAAGTGTCAAACAAGTATATGCAATCACAAATGTATGTTAGCTGAGCAGCGCATCACAATACAACACACTTTATTCAGCTTTATACGTATTAAACTTATAAAGTTTGTAGCAATATCAATCAACACAAATACAGAGTGAACCTAAACAGAAATGGTTTACACATGATATATACTGTTGGTAATCATAATCATAATATGTACAAGACTTCATTTTCAATTGTATATAAAGCAAAAAATACAATCGTAATAACGTATAAGGTTGAATTTTATTATTTATACAACAATGGCACAATAGCGAATGTGATCTAATCTTATTCAGTTAAAGCTTAAACCAGCATCACTTTCGTACAGCTTCAAAAGTCTCAAAACTGTTGACGTCTCAAGTGTAGTGCCTATGAAAACCTTTTAAATTCTGCTTACTAAGTTTCATAAAGTGTTTCACTTTGCCTTGTCTTTCACTGTGTCCTGGTCTCCCCTTATTGTCAATGGGTATATAGTACTATTTACACAATCATAAGCTGTATGGCATGACAGTTTGCCTGATCAGCGCAACACATCGGAGTGCTAGGTGATGCTGGCTTGGTTATGTCTCTGGTTGTAGGTTATTCAAGCATTTACCACGTCCGTACAACGTTACCAGAAACTAACCAAAATGTAATTTGCTCACTCCTAGTGTTCTGAATAAAATGATATGCTTAAAAGATCTTAGCAGATATTACAGGTAGAAAAAGGTGCATGGTTATGCCAAAATAAGTACTTCTGCAAACAATAGTGAGTGGTATTAAGCTTAACTAGTAAGTACTGTTGGCGTGGACGCAGATGCCCAAATTTTCTTATCTAAAGATATTCAAGTTAACGAAGTGCAAACTACAAACAAATTAATGGTCCTTATCACTTTGTATAAACGAAGGGGTTTTTTTACAAATAATCAAATTAATACCACTTGGTTTCTTTTAAGTTTTTCGCAGACATATTTCCCTGGAGTTGGATACTACGTCAGTGCACATAATGGAGTGTCGGAAATAGCCGGTGAGAGATACTGGGAGCTAATTGAACATTCTACTGGTAAACAGTATGAAGTGGGTAAGTAATCTTCTGGACACTGAACGATTAGCTAACTTATTGACAAATCTTGAATTTGAATTCTTTTCCCGATTTACTTATTCCATTGGTCATTATATTTCTACCATGTGAAAGTGTTAAAACAATTGCTAATACCTAAAATTTACACCGTATCAATTGTCATATAATTTGTAGAAAATATTACACAAGTGTATGCCAATTAAACAATTATATATAACTCTTTCGAAATAATTTAAACTATCAATAAGTCTGTGTTGGTTACAAGTATATAAGGGCAACCATTACCTCACAAATTGACCTTCACAAGAATCCGTGACACTTTCAATTTGAAAGTAAAACTGAAATCAGCTTTAGTTGATGCCATAATCTTTAAAAAGATAAACTTTACTCTTATTGTTATTCTGTAGATAATAGTTGTTGTTTGTTATTGTTTTTTTTGTTGTTTGTGTTTTGTTGTTGTTGTTTTATTTTGCGGGTTTATTTCAGAACTTTAATATTTAATTATAAATTCTTCTTTCAGGTTCAAATTTATATATTCCACAAGACGGTGATCATGTTGCTTGGAATTTGACCGAGCTAGATTTATCAAAATACATAACTACAGAAAAACCCGATGCATAATTATTTAATCTGTGCGGAGGGTGAAGGAAAGACAGAGTGTGGGGTTAATGATCTGATTTAATTAGTACTATAAGTTGAAGAAAAAAATGTATTGAATTAATTTTGTTTACAGTCTTTTTTCTTCTTTTTTCGTATTTTTATCATACATGTATTGTGTTTGACAACGGAACTGCTGTTTCGCATTAATATTATTCATATTTGCTGGTCGATAGCAAAACATGTGGGCGAATAACGGAATAATCCTCGCCCATAGATTATTTGTATCTACTGATAACAATTCTGGTGGTGCGTAAAAAATGAGAAAAAAAAACAGCACGGCATAGATTTTGAAAACATAATAACTGCCTTTGTATAAATAGTGTGGTGAGGTATCCCTAACTTGAAAGTAAATATAACTCATCTGTTTTTACAGTAATGAATGAAGTTTGTATGTTCATACGCTATTATAAGAAAATAAGTGCGTAATGAAAATATCAATTTTCGTTATTTCGTTTCCGAAAACAATTGACTTTGAAAGAAAAAGAATCAAACACCGGCTGTCGGTACAGATGTGAATATCTAGCTCTCGGGTAACTGTTTAGCGGAAACTCAGAAGAGCCTCGTTACCGCCATAAACAGTTACCCGAGAGCTAAATATTCCGGTCTGTACCAGCATCCAGTGTAAGATTCTTATAATCTTCATAACAAAATCTAAATATTGAATCACAACGCCAACCAGCGTGATCGGAGCTGATCGATTTTGTAAAACAGATTGCAGCATGTGCTATCACGGTTTTGCAACCAGTGCCTGGGCAAATAAAAAACGTTAAAGTAAAGTACAAAAATGTAATTCTGTAGTTTGAACTATTTGAAACACGTATGCATTCAATAGGTTGAATAATTAAATATGCTTTTACCAAGCCATGACCGATTTCATGCCAACTCGTTTTCTATTGAATACTATTCTATATAAACATAATATATACAAAACATTGTGACAAACGCTGGGTCTTAAAAGCACATTATGCCTCAGAAATCACTTTATTTATTAAATGTTAACATTCATAATATAAGAACAATATAATATATTCTGAAAGTTAAAAGAAATAAATGTTGTGTTTTACTATTCATGTTCTATTTATCGCTTACATCTTCTGTTGAAAGAATACAGGCAACATATATTTTACATATAATAGAGTCACTTATCTACTTCATATGCAGCTTATTTTGCGTTTCATCAGGAAATAATTGAGAAATTCATAGAGATAATGAGAGGATTATGGTGGTTCTTGATCGCTCACTTTAGATGCATTGCTAGGAAATATCTAAGCTCTTGGCATTGTAGTTTCACAAAAAAGACTTATAAGAATTATATTTCTTATAAACTAAATGACCCAAGGAATGATTTATATAACACAAGGTGATGCTACATGCAAAATATCTAAACTCTTAGCATTGTACTTTCAGATGAGATTTTTAAGTCGTTCTATGTACATAAGTGACCCCGGGTTATATCAATTTGAGGTTAATTCTGGCCGAGAGGCTTGACTAACTTTTGTACAACAATGCTTCCTGCCAACTATATAAGCACTTGGTTTGTATTCTATACAAGCCTTTGTAAATTAAATAACCTCCATCCAACCACATTATACGCCCCCCCCCCTTCAAATTTGTTCCCAGGGACGTGATTCGAGATCACGCAATGCTACATGGATCATTCATGTAATGTTTGGTCAGAACCTGTCGAGTGGTTTAGGAAAAGAAATTCTGGACATTGTGGATTGTAGTATAATACAAACAAAAATTGATCAAGCAGAGGCGAGGAGACAGATGTTCAATTAAGAAATTATACAGCTAAGTTTGATTTGTTTTGTAGGTTTTTATTTACACTTATACTGTAGAATTCATATTGCAACTTTCCAGTGTTTCAGTGTTGTTATATTTTTCTAGTCCTTCGGGAACATTGATTCCAGCACTTTGTGTTGAAAATGAAGTACCACTCAGGGCATGAGGGATGTTGCACCTTTTCATTTATCATTATGCATAGATTAAATCAAACCGAGTCTACAATTTTCATGAAATTTTGTTGTGATTAATGCTTCCGAGGGATCACACTTTATCCAGATTTTTCTCCATCTAATAAATGTTACACATGTATGATTTCAAATACATCATGACATAATTATTTCTTGATGGGATCTGCAATTGTATAAGAAAGAAAGAAATCTGCGAAAAAATACTTTTGAGGGTAGGTCCAGATAAACTATTGAACTATTGATCAGTTAATTGCGTATTAACAATTTTGATTATCATTATTATAAAATCAAAGATCAAAACATGTGCAAGGCAGTATGTACTCTTAATACTAATGATATCCCAAGGTTTTATGTGCATTTAATAAAACATTTTATTTGTTTAACATAGCTTATTGGTCAAGTTGTCAAGTTTACATAAAATTGCCACTGATTAACATGCCTCATATAAGTTTTGTTGTTGTTGATGTTCTTGTCCTCCTTCCTTCCCCAGTGCATTGCAGTATATTTAAATGTCATTGGTTTATTTTTGTCGCAGCCAATCCAGCCAAGCCTTCTATTAGTCTAAAACTAGTAAAAATGTCAGTATGTGTTGCTGTGAGTTATAAACAATTCTCTTGTCGGCTGACGACCTTTTTATTTATTCTTATTTTGAAAAGATATTCCCATGGCCAATGTTATCTATTTAAATCTTTGTAAGGTTAGATAAGTTTCTATCAAAACAACGGAATGATTTTGCTGTAAAGCAATAAATATTGTCGTCTGCTATATTCTCAACCTTAAACTAATGAAAACTGTAAGGTAAGCAAATCGTGTGTATCACAAAACTTATATCGTTATCGCAGTTGTCTCTTTTGTAAATACGATTTTATTTTACATTGTTGAGTACAATACTGAATTCTATTGACGCGTGCAACTCTCAGACATATATTTAATGAGGTACTAGCCGAGTCTGATATAGATATTGCAGCTATGTTGGCATCAGTAGAAGTATTGTTCTCAACAATGTGTAATGACCTCTTTATTTCACAAAACCATTTTATGAAAATTTAACATGATTTATTACTTCAAGTACAATAATGATTTGTTATGGATTTTTGGACTTTAAAGTCTGTGTATTTTGAACATATTGATCTTATATAGATGATATTGAATGAGTGTAGTTTAATACATAATTTATTGAACGACTTGAATAAAATCATTGTTTTATTCAACGAGTTCAATAAATTTAGTATTGAATCGACGCGAATATAATATTCTATTTATGATATATATTAAATAAGAACAGTAAATTGTTAAAATGAGTATGGTTTCAATGATGTGCCTATAGTGTTTCGCTAACATTAGCGCGCTTTAACGCTATGTTTATATATAGCGCAAATGACGTCACGTCAAAGTGTTATTAGACTAGTGTAATATCGTTTTTATTTGTTTGGGTCGTCAGACCAAACAAATAATGGTAGCGAAATTTCAGACTCTAATGCTGTTAATTGCAAATGCCGAATGTAGTCCGCTTTTTTTGAAGCGGTTACTTCCCTTTATATGTACACTGACACCGAAAAATTCAGGGGAGATCACTGCGTAAAGATGGGCAAATGACAGGCGCATTAATTTTCAAGCAAAATAATTCCCGAATGGTTCAGTATGTGTTGCTGTGAGTTATAAACAATTCTCTTGTCGGCTGACGACCTTTTTATTTATTCTTATTTCGGAAAGATATCCCCATGGCCAATGTTACCTATTTAAATCTTTGAAAGGTTAGATAAGTTTCTATCAAAACAACGGAATGATTTTGCTGTACAGCAATAGATATTGTCGTCTGCTATTTTCTCAACCTTAAACTTATAATAACTGTAAAGGTAAGCAAATCATGTGTATCACAATACATATATCGTTATCGCAGTTGTCTCTTTTGTAAATATGATTTTATTTTACATTGTTGAGTACAATGATTTTTTACGCTTGCAGCTGTCAGACATATATTAAATGAGGTACTAGCCGAGTCTGATATAGATATTGCAGCTATGTCGGAATCAGTAGAAGTATTGTTCTCAACAATGTGTAATGACCTCTTTATTTCACAAAACCATTTTATGAAAAGTTAATATAATTTAGTTCTTCAAGTATAATAATGATTTGTTATGGATTTTTGGACTTTAAAGTCTGTGCAATTTTTATAGTGAATTTAAACTTACGTTAAAAGCAACCATATTATTCTTTAGTTTATAACGCTTTTGTCTAAATACATAGATGATAAAATGACACGTTCTTTCTTGTTGTTTATCGTTGGAAGCATCATTACACGCTATTTCACGTACTATTTCACGTACAAGATTGTGGATGCTTTCGACTTCTAGGTGAAGTTTAATGTCTTCACGTCTCAATGAGTTCATATATTAGAATTATATACAAATCAATTGCAAGGGAACATAAGCGGCTAGTAATAGCAATATTCAACCGCGACTTTTCGCGCAGAGACATTTCCCGGCATAAAAAGTCGAGGCTTAATTCTCAAAATTGTTAGTTTACAAGATATGCATAAAAATTCGCGAATGATAATGGTCGCAATCGGCTACTTAAAGAAGGTATATGTAGCTAAGTCTACTGTGTAGACAGAAAATGTCACGTTTTCTTTCGTAAAACTCTTCATTTGACGACTCGATAGTTTCTATAAGCCGCGGCATTTCATACAATTTCGACATAAAACCTCGCGGTTTTAAAAGTTGCTAGCGACATTTTATAAACTGACGGTAGAATTTCTCGCGGCCTAAAAATGGACGCAACAGGTCACCATAATGTTGAAGTCTTTCAGGATTTTCTCTCAGGGAGGGAAAATAATATTTCTTTGATGCAGTTACTGATGGTGAACACGCAACAGCTCCCGAATTACGGAAAATGTACAGTTTCAGATATTTGTTGGGCTCAGCTGTGCTGGCCATTTTGTAGCTCAACATATTGTGATATCTATGTGATATCAGTTTGTAAAAAACGGTCGGTCTTGCAGCCGAACTTTAGCTATTTCTGCCAAACGTAAAACTCATGTTCAATGTTTACTAAATGACCATATCGCTCATACAATGGCGAACCT